AGGTTAGATTAGGTTAGGTTAGGGACTATTAAGAATGTGACCTCTTAAAATCAGGATATACTTGACCTTTGACCTATCCTATGCCCAGTATTATAAGGTTAGATTAGGTTAGGTTAGGGACTATTAAGAATGTGACCTCTTAAAATCAGGATATACTTGACCTTTGACCTATCCCAAGCACAGTATATATGGTTAAATAATTTAGATTAGTCTCCCCATGTTAGTGATGACCAATAAACTCTAAGGCTCCTCCCTGCACACTAGAGACTCACCGCCATTTTCTATACGTTATGATAATAGACGTAAATATCCTTAATTATTAAAGTACATTGATCTAATTGGATATAGAGAGCATAATTAATATCACTAGTTAATTATAATACTTATTTTTGTATCTTAGTGAAATCCCAGTGTAAGAAATAAGAGACATAAAAACAAGAGTTTATGTTGACTGTAAACTATGTCCTGTGACAGAGAACAGAGGAATACAGGAAGAGGGTGATCGAAGGCTGGTTTAAGACCTGGACATTCCTGGTCAGAAAGGAAGTCTAAGTTAAAAAAAATAACTGTTTACTTGTTCAATATTATTACCAAAATAACATAAGATTTCATTATTACAATACTTTAGATGAATATACATTATTTTCTTCTTTCAAGGGTTGTTATTTTGATGTTAAAGCAAGAGTAAAACGATTGTTGGACCGACTTCACCCGAGCCCCACCCCTTCTCACCCCCTCTCACATCCCCCTGATACCCTCTCACATCCCTGACACACTCTCTGACAATACCTCTGACAATAGCCCTGACAACTCACCCCCGAGCGAACCCCACCTGCACAACCCACCCCCCCCCCCCGGACAAAACTTCTCCTTGGACATGTCAAATATTACATTAATATCATAATAGTTTGATAAAGAAAGCATTATGAGCATTATATAGGAACACACATTAACACTAACATTATAATTGTGTAACCATTATATTGGACCACATGTTAACCCTAGACATTATAAAAGGATAATTATACCTTATCTAGTCAAAGTCAGCAAACAAATAAAGCACATTATTAAAAAGTTCATTCAGCGTTCATTGTACCTGAAGCTGTGACCTACACCTTCAGAAGCTCCTCCAAGGTCTTCCTCCCATTCACACAGTCCAGACACAGGTTCTTGACACACTGTTGATGTTCCTTTGTGACTTATGTGACTCTTTATCTTGGAGCCTCACCACGAGAATCCTTAACCAGGGCTGTTGATTCAAGAGCCTGAGTCTTTATGATACTTTCAATGGCCTTCCAGTTGGTTGGCTGGTCATGTCCCACTCATAGGCTGATGGTGCGATCCAGCCTGTCAATGGTCGCCTGGTGGACATTACATAACTGTAGTGGAAATTGACGGAAACCAGAGTCAGATCACTAAAGTCAGGTCATTCACGTAACAGTCTTATATTTATGTTTTGTCCAGGGGAAAGAATGTCAGTGGCTTATGTAGGATCCTCTATTATTCTAGATAGTCTTGTCCAGGGCCTATTTTGACGTCCAGTACCTTTCTCGCCTTTATGGTTTGTGCTGGTAGACAGATGTATAGGTCTGCCTCCCTCTGTGTGAAACGGTACTATTTTCGTCCTCTTAAGACACATTGACAAGTTGTGGCCTCTCATGCTGGTGGCGCGAGATATAACCAAGAAATAGACTGGGTTACGTTTCCCATCCCTTTCAATATGTTGAGATGTCTATGAGACCTGCCTAACTGAGTCTTGTCTGAAGAACCGTTAGTCATAGGTCTCTCACACTGAAAAATCGAGATGATATAGTTCCTGAATCATCTTTACCGGTTTGTGTTGTACCTTTTCTTGGGATGCTAAGTCCTTTTGAGGTAAGGTTTCCATGCCTGTATACAGTAGACCTGTGGTGTAATGGTCAGCATGTTCCCCTCGTAAGCTAGCGGACCCGGGTTCGATCCCCGGGCAGGGTGAAACTAAGGGTTTTCTTTACGCCATTTGCCTCTGTCTACCCAGCAGTAATTGGGGACCTGGATGTTAATCGATGTGCGGATCGTGTTCCGGGGTAATGGTTAGCCGGTGGAGTTGTCCGGTCCTCTCGGACTGTTCCTTGACACTGGGTCATGCAACTCGTTAACTCAGGGTGTGGTTGTTGTGTTGGCGACAGCTTCTACACCTTAAATAGTGACCCCAGGGCCGGCCATCCTCGTTACACGAGGGGCAACCATTATTATTTCAGTAGTCTAGATGGAAACGTACGAATTACTTATGAAGTCGAAGGATCATTTTCTTATCTTTGAAGGTATTATGAATAATTCTTAAAGACTGATTGGCTTTTTTCTCTGCTGTTCCTACTTTTTGCGCCGTCTTTAATGACTGGAGGGGTTGAGGGGAGGAGGTTGGGAGAGTGGGCCAACAGTGGCCAGGGCAGCTGCCGCCGCAGGAGCACGCGCCGAATAGGTCTTGACCCCCCGCTTGTGTGTGTGTGCTGAGTATATCAACAAAAACGCTGCCAGATATGGATGTGGACAAATCCTCATTAAATACACAAAAAAACCTTTAAGCAGCCAAACAGTTACAGTAAGGTGTGCCATCACTTAGTCTTGGGTAATAGTCGTTTGTTACAGTCACAGGAATCAGTGCTTGTCCTTCATCTCCTGAGGAGGGCTGAGTTACTATCATTGCTAATGATTATGTTGATAGTTTGCCATCTGGTGAGAGAATGTCCGAGTCAAAGTTGTCAACTATGACCTGAACAAGTCCATCCTCGTGACTACCGACCTTGAGTATTTTGTTGCTTAGTAGCAGCAGCAGCAGCAGCAGCAGCAGCAGCAGCAGCAGCAGCAGCAGCAGCAGCAGCAGCATACCTTTTGAACAATTGTGCTTCATCGTAGCTGCAGGTTACACCATAGTCATGCAGACAACTCAGCTGAGTTTTGTAAGATCAGTGGGTTGACTTTGACAGCTGATGTGACCATGTATAGAGCAGGCACTGAATGCTTCAACTTTGGGGAAACTGCAGCCAGTAGATCCACCAAGGAGGTAGATGTTGCCTCTTGTGCTGTGTTGCTGTCAAGATTGAGTGTGTGTGTTGATTTGTCCAGGAGTACAGATTTACATTCTGTGATGATTTTTTTGGCTATTCTATTAATACTTGGCTTGACATCATCCTCGTCATTGTGATCTTTCTCTACCTTCAGCAGCTTTGCAGCTTGACTATGAAAGGTTATGATGTGCGCATATCCAGGTGATGACAGAATAAGGACCTCGCTGCCGAAATGATCTAATACAGCATGAACTAATTGTGACCGGGAGAGTATTGATCCGCCATGATCTTGATACTCTCTAAAGAGATCAATGGAGTTCCAGAGCCTCGTTTTACCATGAGTTAGAACATCTATGGTGTATTGGAAGGCCTGGTGTTCATTCTGTTGAAGACCCGATGTTAATGGACCACATTCTTTCCTTTTCTGGACACGCTTTGTCTTGGATTTGGAAGTGTATCTTGATAATGCATTGTCAGATCCTCTTCGAATATTCTGGTTTCTAAAGTGTTGTGAAGGTTATAGAATGTACCCAGGAAAGTCCTTTGCTCTGTATGCAAGGCTGGGTTCTGTCACAATTGTACTTATATTCAAATATACAAGCTGCCTCCATCATTCAGAGACCTGTAAAGAGAACCACCACCACATTTAGTCTACCCATCACCACATCATGCACATTGAGATTGTGAGCTCTATAAATATAAGTTGGCCACCACCAGAACATTTTGGTTACATTTTGAAAAAAGAAAACGGCGATGAATGAATTAATCAATTGTCTTCATATCACTGGTAGTAAAGATCACCTTTACCTGAAACACAATTAAAATATAGTTGCATATATAGGTCATGGTTGCATATTATTCTCGGTGTGTCCATTTATCTATCATTTTCCCGAGACGGTGAATTTGGGATGACTCATAGGGGGAACATATTCTAACCCTCAACTCAGGAGATATCTCTTGCTAGAACAGGAATAAATCACAGGAAATGCTCATCATTGATAAAATTTAGATAATATTATGGGGGAAACACCATGAAATGACACTACCATTTGACTTGTGGAGAGCTGGACCTGAAACTACATATGGCAGCCATTTTTAAATTAGCCTATAGAAAAATTGCCCAGAGGTTAGTACACCACACCCAGCTGGAATCATTTAATGAGACACTATATTAACAATCAAGAGAGAAAAAAAACTATTTCCGGTAACAAGGGGTTGACCTATATTTCTGCCAGACTATATTATGTTCTGTAAGACTCTGGTGTTGGGAATATTTACTGTCAAATAAAACAACTATAGTATTTCCGCGCTAACCTGGCCCAGTGGACCATAAGCCACGCCCCTCTTCTATACTAATAGCTGATTGGTTCATATAAATTTCAAACTAAACGTGTTCACAATTGGTAAGCAGATCTGTTATTACCTCAAATAATGTTATATATCTGGACTATCAAGATGCAAATAATTTCAAAGCATTACTACTTCAGAGAGGATGTTAAATTTTTAAAAATATTTATTGTAAAATGTTGATATAAATACTAACTTACGTGTATATACGCTCAGTCCTGGGGGAGGTAAAACGCTCAGGGGAACCAATTAGCTATTTGTAGCTATAGACGAGGGGCGGGGCTTACGGGCCAGGTTAGCGTGGAAAGGGTATAGTTAAAAAAAGTGTCTATGATGTAAGTGTGACTCTGCCCTAATTACTGTACATCACCCAACAGTCACTAACCTAATGTACCTCTCAAACTGAAGGCAAACTTTGAGCATAGTTTTGATGTTACAATATTTCTGTGTTTTATCTCAAGTGCAACAGTTTATTACATCTTATATCACATAAACCTGTTTCTGAACCTGACCACAGATGGACCTCACTATCGGCAGTCAAGTATAGACCATAAGCAACTCCTCACGTGTACTGTACTGTATGTCAATGGTGAAGAACACAAGGTCTTAACGGAGATAAACAAATGCATTTTTATTGGTTCCAGGACAACAATTCTCTAGATAGAAGAATCAACAAGTGATAATCTTGTACATATAAACAGGAGAGAGAAGGCTAGTACACTCCTGCTGACTCCATGGGTGGCGCTGTAGTACATCAGATGTGTTTGGTACAGTTGTGTACAGGAGTATGAAGGAACTTTAGTTCAAGATCATAAAGGAACGCTACTGCTGACAGTAGACTGGGGAACGTACGTCTGGCGTAACCACCATAGTGGAAGACACAAAAAAGGTTTGTTTGAGAATACTTGTGCTGGAGAGTTTTTTAATGACATGATCCTAAGAGTCAGGGAAATTATCTGGTCCTCGAAGGATGGTTCATCTTACTCGAAGGTGACGCCGGCAGCTCGCTGCTCCTCGGCGAAGCGGATCTGCTCGATTGCGTGGGCGGGGAGGGGGTGAGATGTGGGCAGCAGGTCAGATACGGGCAGGTAGCCTCTCTCGTCAGCGGTGAAACGGACCTCAGCAGTGGTGCCGTCAGGGAGGATGAAACTGCCAAGGATAAGAAGTAACATTTGAATAAACAAAAGATACGAGGAAAATGGTTTACCTTAGACTGTACCTCTAGGGCTTAGAGGTACAGTCGACAGATATTGACTCATATCAGGAGACAGGTAAGGTCTGGTCAGTTGGACTACATTAAAATGAATAATTTCCACCTCATCTTACCTTATTCTAAATGTGTATTAAGAAAATTATCTCTCCTTTCTGTCTTTCAAGAAAACATTTTAATAATCATAGCTTAAAGTGTGTGTGTGTGTGTGTGTGTGTGTGTGTGTGTGTGTGTGTGTCTTAAGGGAGGGTTCATGTACCTTGTGATGGCGTCGCTAACTGCTCTACCAGACAAGACAAACTTCCATCATAAACCTTTGGGTCTTGAAGACTCTCACTCGTGTCATCAGGGGAGAACATTTGTGTTGTGTTGATCAAAGTGACTCTTACATTTCTGACAATATGTCCTCTGTGATTTTATATTTTTCACTTTCACTCTGTTGCATCTTCCTCTTTGGCTGTTTCTCCCCAGCATCCGTTTTTGTAATTCATTAGCAAAAGATACCTTCCCATAACCTACCTGTAGACTCCCTCCATGTTGGACTGACCCTCAGCACCTGGAGTGCCGGAGACGGACATGCTGATGCCGTTATCGGCCTCGAAGGCGTAGTTGAAGTTGCCGTCGCCAGAGTCGCTGCGCTCGTCTTTGATGATCTCAACAATGGGTTTCTGGTCTCCCTGAGGAGCGGCGAAGGCGACGGCGGCCAGGCAGGCGAAGAGTACCTGCAGGAGGCAAAATCGTGATTAGTGACCAGGAGTTTACAATGGTAACCCAGCGCTGGAGTCTCTAAAAGATCAATCAACACTGACGGATATTAAGAATTTCCTATACACAGTGTTTGTGTCAACTCCCTCCAACCTCCGCTGTACCACGTGAGGGTAACAGGTCACATGGACAACAGCCACAGTGATTACGCTACACTGTGGGGCTGAGGGCGTCTGACGTGGGGATATATACACATTTTTCTGAGAAAATTCTCTTATTTATCCCCATTTCACTTTCTTTCTCTTTATAACCTAACTCTAAAATTTTATTCCTTCAACTTCTCACTCTATTATATTTCCTTATCACTGTAAAACACGAAATTACGTTTTCTGTCCTGAATAAAGAAACGAATGTTACCTTACTTCAGTATACACCAAAACATACAATTTCCAACATAAAACATTCACAAGCTGACTATATTATTGAGTCATCGTTCACTTACTCCTCCACTAACTTGTTCTTGGCCACGAGAGAACACACGCTCTTTTATGTACCAAACACCAACATACTGTACACCTTCAAGCATTAGTCATACACTAACCCACTGCATAAAACACAACAAAAACACACATACAAGAACCATCCAAGGACAGTATGTTGTGTATGGGGGACCTTTACGACATTCCATACACACTCATACAACTCCCAACGTACAACATACATTAAATACACGTTAACCATACGATTGTCGACCACGTCTGTCCATACAGTACTTAACAACCCTCTTGCTATAACCCACAACACAAACATACAACTCTTAGTGTACAAACAAAACACGGCGCTGACTACAACTTATCTCTGACATAAACACAGAAAGAATCATCCTACAGCATCCTAATAATATCCCCAACTACGTGTAAGATACCAGGAGCACTTACCAGCTTCATGTTGACGGTATCGAGGATCAGCAGAGGATGATGTTGAGGACGGGGAGCAGAGTCCTATATATACTCCTGTCTAGGTCCTGCGGGGAGAAGAGATTTGGGACGAGCTGATGAAGGTCGTATACTTAGTCGATACAGGTGAAGGCAACGATGACCTCCTCCTCCTCCTCCTCTTCTTCTTTTTCTTCTTCTTCCTCCTCCTGCTCCTGCTCCTCCTCCTCCTCCCTTAGAGTACCTCCCCCTTTCTTGTCCTGTGAAAGTAGTGAGGAAACAGGTGGTGGTGTTCCGTTTTGTATAATTTAATGTCGTAATATCTGAAGATTTATAGGAGAAAATGGTTCGAATTTCAAACGAGTCGGATTCGAATAAAATTATACCGGAGATTAAAGGTTCGAATAAAAGGTTCATTTACGAGTAAGGTTTATTTTTGTGGTATAAATATATGAATACAGATTACTAGCATTCGAATAGAAGAAAATGAAGTTCGAATCAATGAAACACCCGGAAACTAATATTCGAATTAAATGTATTTATCTCTAACTGAACTATATACATTTACCTAACAAATATAGAAACTTCGCCAGGCATTTGTTCGTCTGCCTTCTGCCAACTCTGACGGAAGTATTTTTTTTATATACATGAAACTAATAATCGAAGAGTTGTGTATGTGGAGAGAAACGTGATAAATAGATAAATAATATTAAAGGCAATACAGAATAACTTATAGTTGAGAAGGAAGGAGGATACAGGAATGACAAGCAATATGTGATCCCTTGTAACAGAACATCGTGATGGACTTGGGGGGAAACGAAGAAAAAAAATAACAGTTTGGTTTAGAAATTTTACAGTGACGCAGCTTTATAACGTAGAGAGAGAGAGAGAGAGAGAGAGAGAGAGAGAGAGAGAGAGAGAGAGTACAAGATACGTTATGTACTTATAGAAAGTCTTACTAAGCTTACAAAATGATCATCCCTGTACTTCAAGCTGACGTATTAAGCTTACAATCACCTCTATACTTCATGCTATGGTACTAAGCTTACAATCACCTCTATACTTCAAGCTGTGGTACTGAGCTTACAATCACCTCTATACTTCAAGCTGTGGTACTAAGCTTACAACCAAGGTCACATCAACAGCAGCAAGTGAAAGAACATAGCTCTTTCAGACACGTACAGCAATCTGCATAATCAGACACAAAGATAATATTTACTCACACACGCCACACAACACAACCTAGTCTCACTTGTTGGCAAACTGGTGGTAAGAGATATAAGATGAAAAAAATAGTGAAAATGTATAGAAATAGTAATGTGTGGATAAATAGGGTATATGTGGTAGTAGTAGTAGTAGTAGTAGTAGTAGTAGTAGTAGTAGTAGTAGTAGTTTAAACAATCAAGTCTCCTCTTCCAAATCGATTCTGTGTGTTTTTACTAACTGTCTTGTAAACTGTTGTAGTATTTCACACAATATTTTTTTTACAGTTTAACGAAATATTTACAAAACGAAAGAAGACAGAAGACTTAGAATAAACGTGGCCTTCGGTGGGTCGTTTATATGCAAGAGACTTTAATAAATCAGTTAGTTGGTTTTGTCTTCAAGGTTTAATAGCTTCTGTGTGTGATTTGCATCTATTCAACTCATCATCATTATCATCAAATCCATCATCATAATTACCCTCGTTATCATACCATCGCCATTATCACCACACCATCATCATACTCACCCTTATCATCATTATTATTGTTATTATCATCATACTATATCACCATGACTAATATCACCACACCATCATTATCATCACTTTCCTCACTACTACCATTATTACCATCACCATCTGCCATTAATCGCTGCCACACTTGTAATTTCTTGTTTCTTAGTAGTAGTAGTAGTAGTAGTAGTAGTAATAGTAGTAGTAGTGGTAGTAGTAGTAGTAGTAGGAGACGATAACAAGACAAATAAGGACGGGCCATAAAACGCTTGGGGTCCAGTACTCAACCCAGCGGCACTCCTCCTTATGACTACATCAAGAAGGTTTATATAGTCAAGCGAGCTGTGAGTATATGCAGTCAACCTACATGTTTTACCCATTTGCCCGGATGTTTTTATAAGTGTGTGTGTGTGTGTGTGTGTGTGTTTTTCAACTTTCAAAATTTTAGTTAGATGTTATGATAATCTTTAAGTTTTTCATCATCTTCGTCTCAGGAAAAGTTGTGGTTTGTCGATTTTCCTTTTTTTCTGATGTTATTGGTTATCTAATTATTGTTGTCATGTTCTGAAGTCATAATGAAGGTGAATGTCTTGGTGGGTCTTAGTTTTAATGTGCCCCGGTTACAATAGGCCCCAATCTCAATTGACTCCAGTAACACTGCGCCTCAGTCCTAATAGGCCCTAGTCCCAACACTCAACGTTCTAACCTAACCTAACCAAACTCTTAGTATTGGCTGGAACCATCTAAGATTAGCGTCCATCTCGCATATAACCAACAACCAAGATCTATAACACAGATCAGTTTTCTGTTGTAACGAAAATCAAAAGACAACAGAAAACTCGACTGTAAATCTGAACGAGAGACGAGACAACAGTCCAGCCATCATACGCCACCAGGTACTAACAAATTTTTACTTCCTCCGGGGTTAAGCACGTGTCAAGAGGGTCATAGAGTGGAAGGGTATGTTGGTACTTATCCAGAAGTTCCCAAAAGGTAACCCCCCTCCTCCCCCCCTTTACCCTCCACTCACCCCTCTGAGGTCCTCCTGTTCATGGGGTATAAATATGCGATTCGATTCGGGCAGTGAACAGTAAGAGATGCGTCTCCCATGCAGGACACACGATTGACGTACCTGAGTTCTCCTGAAGGAAGTTTTGGGAGGTGGGAGGCGGGATAGGAAGGCCTCAGAATGGATATTGCCTTTTATTATAAACATTCTGACAAAAGGAATCTGTGGTTTTACGAGTTAACAATAGGAGGCTGTTGGTTTATGAGTTAACAATAGGAATCTGTTGGCTTATGATTTAACAATAGGAGGCTGTTGGTTTATGAGTTAACAATAGGAGGCATTTGGTTTATGAGTTAACAATAGGAATCTGTTGGCTTATGATTTAACAACAGGAGGCTGTTGGTTTATGAGTTAACGAGGAATCTGTTGGTTTATGAGTTAACAATAGGAATCTGTTGGTTTATGAGTTAACAATAGGAGGCTGTTGGTTTATGAGTTAACAATAGGAGGCTGTTGGTTTATGAGTTAACAATAGGAGGCTGTTGGTTTAAGAGTTAACAATAGGAGGCTGTTGGTTTATGAGTTAACAATAGGAATCTGTTGGTTTATGAGTTAACAAGAGGAATCTGTTGGTTTATGAGTTAACAATAGGAATCTGTTGGTTTATGAGTTAACAATAGGAGGCTGTTGGTTTATGAGTTAACAATAGGAGGCTGTTGGTTTATGAGTTAACAATAGGAGGCATTTGGTTTATGAGTTAACAATAGGAATCTGTTGGCTTATGATTTAACAATAGGAGGCTGTTGGTTTATGAGTTAACAATAGGAGGCTGTTGGTTTATGAGTTAACAATAGGAGGCTGTTGGTTTAAGAGTCTAACAAAAGGAAGATGTTCTGTCAGAGAATAAAGATCATTCTAAAGTATGAGACTCACTCGAAGGTTTTTTTATATAAGGAGTGTAACAATAGTGGATCCTTAATATAGGCGTCCATTAGTGTTTACCATCGTTACTGGACTGCTGTACTGTAGAGGAGAGAGCTCTATAAGCGTCTGGAAGAGATAGGAATGTGATCTTTTTTGCTGTGTTGAGGTATTTTATAAGGGTTCTTCGTGATGTAACTGTCAACAGGGAGTAAATATGACGAACTAGTTTCATTCTGGCCGTGGCAAGAAGATGATGACACACAGGTTAAAGGTCGAGAGTGATTTGACAGCCAATAAAACAGGGCCACGTCACGTTCTGGTAGCCAATAAAACAGGGCCACGTCACGTATTAGTACCTAATAAAAACGTGCCACGTCTTGACTTGGAAGCCAAAAAAATAACCAAGTCACGCCCTGGTAACCAATAAAAGAGGGCCACGTCACGGACCGGCAACCAATTAAATAGATACACGTCATATGTTTACGGTTAATAAAACAGTATTGGGTCACGTGCTGGTTTACATATTTCTATGCACTCGCTCTCACAAGACGCTGTAAATAACATCGGCAGACATTTATGAGCATCATAAAGTGGTGGTACATCAGAGTGGTAACGGCAAATAGGATTAAAAGTTACTTTCAACTTATACATATGAATTACTCTCCTCTTCCATGCCGCGAGGGAGAGTTAATTTTAGAGATGTTACAGCGGAACTCTCAAACACTTTCCTTTTCGATTCCTTCTTCAAGTTTCATTCTCACCAACTGGACTAAAGTCTCCGTCTCTTTCTTCGTCTCCTTCTTCACCTAGTCCATTGAGAGCCGACAATATTATTACCTGTAATTAAAACTCTCATCTGTGACTCAATCTCCAAATCAGTTAATCAGTGGCTTGACCTTTGACCTGATTCCCCAAGACTATCACAATGACCTTGACCCTGTATTGTCACCATCGGCTGTTTTCCTTATCAATAGTATAACAATAGCAAGGTATCGGTACTACTTGATGAGGAGCTCCGAGGTACAACATAGTGACATAGTGGCTTAATATGTGTTTATTATGGCATTATAATCGCCAAACTTCCCATCATAAACAACATGGCTCGGGATTTTAATGGCGATCGCGTGATTGGTTGTCTTAAAACACCAACATTATAACCCCTAAGTTGTAGACAATGTTTACTGTAGTACTAAAAACATTGATGCGATCTCCACTAAAGTCTACTATAAGCCAGTGTATGTATTTTTTTTTTTGAGACACCCTGTATGTTTGTGTACTTATGACAGCAAGTTTATGAAGGTGTCGTGTTTATTCCCGACAGCAAGACTTATTGAGCAGGTGATTAACTTGTCACCGCTTAGTACAGTGGTGAGGAGATGTGTAGAGAGGCCCGTGGACACCTCTGTGGTCTCTCTCTCTCTCTCTCTCTCACTCTCTCTCTCTCTCTCTCTCTCTCTCTCTCTCTCTCTCTCTCTCTCTCTCTCTCTCTCTCTCTCTCTCTCTCTCTCTCTCTCTCTCTCTCTCTCTCTCTCTCTCACCTTGGCAGACCTCCTTGCTTAGTTTACATTCAAACACTAACACTTTACCATAAATGTTAGTCTAAACAACATATTCTTAACTGTAAACTCTTAAGACAGCCTTGATACGTGTTAACTTAACAACAGATGTTAAATGAAAGTTAATCTAGTGATTTTAATATAATGTAAAGAAGAAAGACTTAATTCACCGTCATCAAAGGGTCAAATCACCGTATTCAAAGGGTTAATTCGTCGTATTCAAAGGGTTAAATCACCGTCCTCAAAGGGTCAAATCAAATCACCGTCCTCAATGGGTTAAATCTCCGTGCTCAAAGGGCTAAATCATCCTCCTCAAAGGGTTAAAAAAACATAACCCATTTGTTTACTTCAGTCAACTGTTTGGTCGAGAGTTTACTGTTTACCTTCCTCACTCGACAACAAACAATTTCTCATGCATCTTTACACTCTGTTGATAACGAAGGGAGAGAGAATGCTAGCTAACTCTTATCTAACCTGGTCCATGTGTGTGATAACATTTTATATACCGTGAATAATGTATAACCATTATTATTATTATTATTATTATTATTATTATTATTATTATTATTATTATTATTATTATTATTATTATTATTATTATTATTGTTGTTGTTGTTGTTGTTATTGTTATTGTTATTATTATTGTTATTGTTATTGTTATTGTTATTGTTATTTTTGTTGTCGTTGCTGTTGTTGTTACATACAATACACACATATAACTGAGTGATTTCAATGATGGCATAGATAGTGTTCCTGTAACGGTAAAGAAGAACGCTACAGGTCAAGACAAACTATCCATTAATGTACACCTGCAACACAGTCTCTAATAACCAGGTAAATATAGAGGCAATTAGTTTTTTTATCCAAATTATCACAAAAAAGGAAATTAAAATATATGATAATTGTAAAAAAAAGTTAAATAAATGATAATTGTCAGTTTGCTGGTATATTTATTGTGTATATACACTTCTTCACCCCAGGGAATATACAGATTAGATGAGGGTAAGATTTAAGTATCTAACAAGTGTCGTGTAAGAAAATATAAGTACAGTTAGATGATGAAGTGTGATATGAGGAGGTTTAAGTACACAGAGGAAGACTGCTCGAGTACGTGAGGAAAGATATAAGTGAAAGAGAACTATGAGGCAAGAAATATAAGTATCCAAACAAAAAAGCGAAATCAGCCAAGCAGGATAGTAACTAGCTAATGGAAGTAGGTGGCGCCACAAAAATATATACTATATGTAGGTCTCTTACATCAGATGAACAAGACACGGTAAGAGAAGTATGGACTAGCATGTAAAAATGGACAATTAAGGTCGACATCTGTTCCGTTTTTAATGGCCTCGGGAAGGTTCACCACATCGGCGAATGATTGAGTCAACTTCATTCTTACTCGAAGGTGATGCCGTCAGCCAGCTGCTGCTCGGCGATGGCTATCTGCTCGATGGCGTGGGCGGGGAGGGGGTAGGGGGTGGGCAGCAGGTCAGACTCAGGCTTGAAGCCGTTCTCGTCAGCGACGTAGCGGACCTCAGCGATGCTGCCGTCGGGGAGGGGGAACCTGGTGGAGAGATTAATAGCGGAGTCAGCGAAGTTTGTGCCATGTCAGATGTCGTGCAACACGACTCTAAAACGTTAATAAAGCAGCCTACTGATTCCAGCCTCAGGGGCTGGACTGAAGACCAAGCTACTCGTATATGCATTTGAATTGTTGTACGTGAGACCACATCGAGCTAAGGCACATTCTCTGCGTTACCAGAGCTCTGAGAGGTAAGGAATACATTTTAGTTGAGGATAAATGTGAACTAACTAAGATTTCTTTTCATATTATAAACACGCTACACTGCGGGACTTAACCTATTGATATCCAGTGTTAATCCCTGAAGGATATTCTTAGAAATTACAAAAGTCTGTTTTCTTAATTAGATTGGTAACAGAGACTCTTGGCTTAAGGTTTTTAAAATTAATTTGACAGAAGATATTCATAAGGTTTTATCAGAGAGCTCCAGACAGTCAGAGATGTTAAGTAACTGCATTAAGAGATCAACAAGACTCACCTGAAGACGCCCTCGATGTTACTCTGTCCAGTCTCTCCCGGAGTTCCGACGGCTGAAACAACAATACCATTGGCTGTCTCGAACTCATATTTGAAGTTGCCGTCGCCTGAGTCCTGGCGCTCGTCGCGGACAATTTCGATGATTTCCTGCTGAGGGCGAGGTGCGGCGACGACCACGGCGGCCAAGCAGGCGAGGACCACCTGAAGCAACACAACAAGTAGAGTGTCGTCAGTAACACACTATTTCCCTTTACGTCTCATGTGAACTTTTCTTGGAACATAAAACCCGGGCCATGGAAGCTCTAGTAATGAACCATCGTTATCTTAAGTACTTCACAAAATATTAATGACCGTTATCGTGAATTTAATACTCGTGAAGTGACAGAGTGTGAGGTGATAATATATAATGTTAAACTATCGCAGAAGACGATATATTATGACTGAGCTGTGTCCTCTAGTTTGACCTTACAGTATCTCACAGATTCTCGTGTGTCACAAACCCTCAAAGTGTACAGTGTGTTAATATACAGACGTCAAGAAAAATAACCATCTCCTCCAGGAAGGAACTCACGAGCTTCATGATGAACAGATATGTAGGAGAGACGAGAAGGAAGAGCTGCCTGACAATGGTGATGCTTCTACTGATGCCTCGAAGACGGAGATGAGATTATATATACACAAAAACACTCACCCCACACGCCCACCCCTAGCCTCAGGAGCTTGATGTGCCTTGATGGTGGTGAAGCCGCAGTTTCTTGAAGGTTAAGTGAGTGTTGGTCGGTCGGTCACGTCAGGAGAGAGAGAGAGAGAGAGAGAGTGACACCTATCTTGACAAGGACAGGTGATTCGTTCCTTATCAGCCGCTGACAGCTTCACGGTGTACAGGGGAGTAAGAGGCTGGGAAGAAATTCTATGTCGTCATATTTTCCTAAAATTTATTTCATCGGGTGTCTTACTCTGTTGTTTTTATTATATTTTATCTATATTTCTCTTTATCACTATTTTCTCTCTCTCTCACTTTTTTCACATTCACGTATATTTTTAATAGGATAATTGGCCTTTAGATTTATCATTCTCTTCCTTTATTTACCTTTCTATCTATCCATCTTTATATTTTACCTTTTTCTAGTCCATCTTCCTCTATTTGTCTCTCTCTCTCTCTTTCTCTCCGTCCTCTCTCTTTCTCTCTGTTTCCTATAATCACAAACTATGAATTAATCATAACTCCTAAACACACATAATAATGATATAAGTAAAAATTAAACTACTGTTATGTTGCAACAATAACAGGAGGCAAATGTATGTGTGTGTGTGTGTGTGTGTGTGTGTGTGTGTGTGTGTGTGTGTGTGTGTGTGTGCGTGTGTGTGTGTGTGTGTGTGTAGGGGAGAAAGTGTCACTCTGAAGACGTGCAAGGTCACCTGTTCATACTTGTGGTAGAAATGCTAGAATCCTCGAGTATTTACTTATCTAAATATGACACGTCACTGTGCAATGTTAAGCGCTATTGTTGAGGAGGGGCTGGGTGAGGAGGGGCTGGATGAGGGAGGGCTGGGTGAGGAGGGGCTGGGTGGAGGAGGGGGCTGGGTGAGGAGGGGCTGGGGTGAGGGAGGCTGGGGGAGGAGGCTGGGTGAGGAGGGGCTGGGTGGAGGGAGGGCTGGGTGAGGGGAGGGGCTGGGTGAGGAGGGGCTGGGTGAGGGAGGGCTGGGTGAGGAGGGGCTGGGTGAGGAGGGGCTGGGTGAGGAGGGGCTGGGTGAGGAGGGGCTGGGTGAGGAGGGGCTGGGTGAGGAGAGGCTTATATGGGAGAACTTTACATATAGCTACGAGTATAGTTCCTTCCCGGTGATTATTTTGTTTATTGAACTGTTGACTGTTGATAAGGAAGTGTGAAAAATTTAAGGAACTCTCTCTCTCTCTCTCTCTCTCTCTCTCTCTCTCTCTCTCTCTCTGTGTGTGTGTGTATATGATGTGTCAATAAAATTCAGCATCGACTTAAGGCCAACAACTTGTATGTTTACTCTCTTCTGTAAACAACAATGTGACTAACGGTACTTGTATGACTTATAAACAATAACAAACAGATCCTCACGAGTCAAATACTGCTCCTTGTGTTTGTTCAGGACGGAGGGAGTTATGATAGCGTCACATTGGCCTCCTCCGTGTGTGCGTGTTTGTGTTTGTGTGTGTGTGTGTGTGTGTGTGTGTGTGTGTGCGTTTGTGTTTGTGTGTGTGTGTGTGTGTGTGTGTCTGTGTTTTATCTTTCATGCTGTACAAACAATAAAAAAAATATTCTTATTGTCTAGGTATTGTTGTCAGAATCCTTTATCAGTTGTGTGATATTATTTAACGCAAAATTTTAAAGAATATTTTTTTGGATTTTGAGTACGTGTGTCAAGACCCTAAGGCTGTTTAGAAAAGGTCAACACAATACCCCAAATTCTTATCACTTAACTCTAAAATCTCTCCAAAAATTCTGTTATGAAGAGTACATCTGCCCGAGACACTTTAGACCTTCGAGTGATGGTCCATGATGCTGTGTGTTGGTAAAATGTGGAGTAGATGAGAGACTGATGTAAATAGTAATTGAGGTAAGACTGAGGTAACGGTATCAGTTTTGTTGGCACCACTTTGAGGGTCTTCTTATTAACCCGAGTGTCTTCTGATACCTATGAGGGTCTTCTGAAACACTCTTTGATAAGCTCCGGGTTAAACCATCGTCTTCATAGCGTTAACCCTGAAGGACGAGCTTTTGACAGGGTAATGGCTTAGAGTTTGAATTATCATTTTTAAAGGGCTTAGGAGGAACTATGAAATTTATTTATTAATAGATAATAAAGAACATGAAGAAACTCTGATAAAAATTGCATGTTCTAAAACTAGGAACAGTGTCTTGCACCATCTAGGTAAGACTCGGCAGGAAGTTATCCGTAGCTCTGCGTGTTCTTAAAATGCCCAAGATATGTCAAGATTGCATAGAAACTCCTGTTGCAGTAAACATTTATTATACAAATATAATTACAATATATATTTGTCTAGTTCCATGACAGACTCGATGTCAATCAAATAGTCATCGGCCATAAGTCATTATCAACAAGAGTTCAGAGAAGACAAGAGAAGAGGTGGTCCAGGCCAGGGTTATGTTCGTCTTACTCGAAGGTGACGCCGGCAGCGCGCTGCTCCTCGGCGAAACGGATCTGCTCGATGGCGTGGGCGGGGAGGGGGTGTGGCGTGGGCAGTAGAGGAGACTCGGGCTGGAAGCCGTTCTCGTTGGCGATGAAGCGAATCTCAGCGATGGTGCCGTCGGGGAGGATGAAGCTGTTGACACAAACAGAAAGTGTGGAGAATGATTCGTAAATGATTGGTTCAATATATAAGCAACACAGTGATTGATATGAAGGTTAAAATTGTAAGGATTAACTCTGATGCTGAGATCCTCAGTGGTGACTCACTCACACTATCTGTAGAATCCCCCATGTTAACTTGACCTTCAGCATCAAGTGTGCCATAACCTACCTGAAGGCTCCCTGCATGTTGACCTGGCCCTCAGCACCTGGGGCGCCATAACCTACCTGTACGCTCCCTGCATGTTGACCTGGCCCTCAGCACCTGGGGTGCCATAACCACCTGTAGGCTCCCTGCATGTTGACCTGGCCCTCAGCACCTGGGGTGTCATGACCTACTTGTAGGCTCCCTGCATGTTGACCTGGCCCTCAGCACCTGGGGTGTCATGACCTACCTGTAGGCTCCCTGCATGTTGACCTGGCCCTCAGTACCTGGGGTGCCATAACCTACCTGTAGGCTCCCTGCATGTTGACCTGGCCCTCAGCACCTGGGGTGCCAGAGACGGACATGCTGATGCCGTCGTCGGCCTAGAAGGTGTAGTGGAAGTTTCTGTCGCCAGAGCAGCTACGCTCTTGTCTCTCGTCTCTCTGAGGAGTGGTGACGACGCCCAGGCAGGTGTGAAAAGTGAAGGAATTACAATTGAACTGAGTAAAGAATATGAAGGAAAATAGGCTTCCCCGAGCGGGGAGCCTAAGGGGAGTTTATGGCACCCCAGGTGTTGAGGGACAGGTCACCATGTCTATAGGTAGAAACGCAGATATTCTCCTCTGGTGTATTTCATAGTTTTTTAATTCCTGTAAATCCTATAATTTTTAATTATTAAACATCTACAAACTTATAAAACATTCTGGTTTTGATAAGTTACTATATATAAGAAAGGATTCATTCTACATATTTAGTTTTATTATTGTGTCATCAGCATCACCCTTCCCGACGCCACCATGCGAGAACAGCTTCCAGCCCGAGTCTCCTCGCTGCCCATTTCCTACGCCACGCCATCGAGCAGATCCGCTTCGCGGAGGAGCAGCGAGCTGCGTCACCTTCGAATAATAAAAAAATGGAATCAGGCCTGGAAGATTTCCCCTTGTTGATAAATTCTGGTAAACACTGACGTGTGAGGGATGAGGCGTCTGGAGCCCCTTAGTTCAGTATTCACTTTGCCCTGTCTTACAAGGTTATTACTGGTGTTTCTGTACTTAATTCTGGTCCTTGCTTGTTGTTATTACTCATTCTGGTGAACACAGAGAAGATTAATATGAAGAGGCTGTCAAATATACCTCCAGTGTTCAGCGTGCGTTTATTGTACATTATGTGGTAGACCGGCCGTCAGCCACTCATGATCATGGCTACCGTCCGGATTTCTGTCTTTGGCTTTGTGTGTCTATATTTGTCTGTCAGTGTATCCATATGTAAATACCTGTCTTTTTTTTTTATTCACCTGTCGTAGCTCCGCCCAACTATGTCTGCCCGTTCACCATCAGTCATCTTGTACCACCTTGCTTGAGTGACCACAACTTTCAGAGCAGTATATCTTACCTTCAAGACTAGCGGTCACCTTCGGGCGCTTAACTATAAGAATTTAGTACTTGTTTTCTTTAAAATTTATGAAGATTATTTAAAAAAAAATGGAAACTGAGAAGAACTTTTCATTTGAGAGTAACTTTAGGTCAGTAAATTAGGTTAAAAATATAGTTGGAATTAAGGGAAAAAGAAAAGAACATTGTCTATCAGTAAATTCATTGTCTATTGATTGCCAAGGGTAACACACACACACACACACACACGCACACACACACACACACACACACACACACACACACACACACACACACACACACACACACACACACACACACAAACTGCCTCAAGGAAGAGATAACGTGAGAAAGTTTGGAAATATTCAGTGATATTCAGGTTGTTGATGAAGACGATGATGATGATGGGGGACGATGATAATGATGATGAAGTCAATCATGATGATGAAACCGATGATGATGATGATGATGTTGATAATGATAATGATTGTTTATAGAGAAGATGATGAAAATGACAAATATCAAGAAGGATGGCCCTCTTCTTGTTTATATAACACAATGTTAATTTTCAACCTTTTTAAGTATAGTTAAATCTACGGTATAGTTTTATTTTGGGGGGATTATCGTTTTTAAACAGGTAACACTGAAATCAGTCTGGTGTCACATAATTATTGACTTCTTAGGATTTTCTTTTTCAGTTCTAAAACAGTCATTTTTATTTTTATTTGTTTTTATTGTTCGCTGAAGTATTTTTATTTATGGATTATCTTTTAGGAATATCAAACCTTTCAGTCCGATGGTTGAGGCCTGTGAGTACGTGAGGGAGGCGGGCCTTCTACACACTGTGCTCAGGGTCAGAAAAAGAAGAATATGTTTGCAAAATATTCATTTATTACAGTTCAGTGGTAATGATGGAGTGTCTGGTGGCGGAGCGTCTCTAAGAGACCCAATACGTGTCCAAAATGTGCTGTAATACGTGTCCAAAATAGTGTCCATATACGGACTTCCGGTCACATCGAGAGTAGTCGAGCTGTAGGGTCATTTTCGTCTTATTCGAAGGTGATGCCGGCAGCTCGCTGCTCCTCGGCGAAGCGGATCTGCTCGATGGCGTGGGCGGGGAGGGGGTGTGGTGTGGGCAGTAGAGGAGACTCGGGCTGGAAGCCGTTCTCGTTGGCGATGAACCGAATCTCAGCGATGGTGCCGTCGGGGAGGATGAAGCTGTTGACACAAAATAAAAATATGGAAAATGAGTCGCACAGGATTGATTCAATATACAATTAAGAATGAATGATTTAAGAGTTTGTAATTATGTGTTTTTATTTAAATTTGTATGGTTTAATCTGACGCTTTGATCCTGATGAGGAAACAACTCATAGTATGAACTGGCAATACACCACAGAACATTTTAGCCCTGTCTTTAGACTCCCCCTTATGCTAACTTAACCTTCAGCACCTGGGGTGTCATAACTTACCTGCAGGTTCCCTGCATGTTGACCTGGCCTTCAGCACCTGGGGTGTCATAATTTACCTGCAGGTTCCCTGCATGTTGACCTGGCCCTCATCACCTGGGGTGTCATAACTTACCTGTAGGTTCCCTGCATGTTGACCTGGCCCTCAGCACCTGGGGTGTCATAATTTACCTGCAGGTTCCCTGCATGTTGACCTGGCCTTCAGCACCTGGGGTGTCATAATTTACCTGCAGGTTCCCTGCATGTTGACCTGGCCCTCAGCACCTGGGGTGTCATAACTTACCTGCAGGTTCCCTGCATGTTGACCTGGCCTTCAGCACCTGGGGTGTCATAACTTACCTGTAGGTTCCCTGCATGTTGACCTGGCCTTCAGCACCTGGGGTGTCATAACTTACCTGCAGGTTCCCTGCATGTTGACCTGGTCCTCAGCACCTGGGGTATCATAACCTACCTGTAGACTCCCTGCATGTTGGACTGGCCCTCAGCACCTGGAGTGCCAGAGACGGACATGCTGATGCCGTTATCGGCCTCGAAGGCGTAGTTGAAGTTGCCGTCGCCAGAGTCGCTGCGCTCGTCTTTGATGATCTCCACGACGGGTCTCTCGTCTCCCTGAGGAGCGGCGACGGCGACGGCGGCCAGGCAGGCGAGGAGTACCTGCAGGAGGCCCAAGAGAGATATTTGCAATAATCAAGTTTCATGTGGTTTTACCAAGGGATCACTGTTGTTGACTGTAGGGACCCAACATCAACAACATGACTGGGAATATTGAAAATATTAATAAATGTTCTGTAATAAGAAGATGCTAGTCATCGATTTGACACAGTTTCCCCTTAAATCATCACTGAGTCGCCATCCCCTCCCAAGCATCCATTTTATTCTCTGTCATATCACAGGGAATATCCTCGGACATATAGACGTAAAGTCTTCTCCCTGGGACAAAGGTTAAGAATATTGAAAACTCTCTAATTATTTTTTACATGCTTATGGTTATTTTCATTTAATCCGAATTTTTTTGTTCTACCTTTAACGAAACTGTAATGTTCTTTTAACTTGCTCGCAGTCTGTAAGCTTTGTTTACCCTAAAATAATTCATATAATAACATTTGTAATTCTTGTTTATATTTATGAAGGCAATGATGTTTTACAATAACCATCAATGGAGACACAATCCTCCCAGTTTATTGTTCTTAACATATACAATCAACGTGTATCTTATTACTAAGTTTGTCTAAGAGCTTCTAAAGAGTAAAATTATTTCAACAAGAGACTGAACGTTTACCTTATGGCTGAAGTGAGTGGCTATACATACTAACTAGATATGTATTACTCTTACTTATTTTTAACATTGATAGTAACACCGGTCTTATTCTTTAACATTTACAGCTAAGTTTTCTTCACTACACTGAGCTGTCAAGAAACCAACTTAGTTTGAGAGCTATATACAGTGTTACGGTTTACGGCAACACTGAGCGCTAAACAAACACGACCCCATGATGCTGCATACTTACCAACTTCATGATGGCTGGATGGAGTGTGTGTGTGTTGTGGCAGCCAGGTGGTCGATCCCTCCTTATATAAGCGCCTTCCATCGGGTCTGGTTGCGTAAGTAGGTCCTATAGTGGGCAAGGACATAGAGAAAGGGGGAAGGACTCGAGTATGGTGAAGGGGGGGGGGGGATGGTGGGTGGGGGCTACTGTGTTTGTATGGTGGGGATGGGGGAAGCGTTAGTGGTGGTAAGGTGGCGTGACTAGGGATCTGATCAAGCCAGGGGATAAAGGTGGTTCTGAGTCATTAGCCTTTGCTCACCTTCCCGTCTCTCTGTTGTCGACTAACTCCCAAATCAAGTATTATAACTTTACATGGTGTAGCCTGCCCCCCATCCTCTACAGTGAAGTGAAGCCTGCCCAGCCTCCCATCCTCTATAGTGAAGCCTGCCCCTATCTCCTCTATAGTGAAGCCTGCCCCATCCTCTATATGAAGCCTGCTCTATAGTGAAGCCTGCCCATCTCCTCTAGTATAGTGAAGCCTGCCCTATCTCCTCTAAGCCTGCCCCCATCCTCTATAGTGAAGCCTGCCCCATCCTCTATAGTGAAGCCTGCCCTATCTCCTCTATAGTGAAGCCTGCCCCCATCCTCTATAGTGAAGCCTGCCTTATCTCCTCTATATAGGCCTGCCCCATCCTCTATAGTGAAGCCTGCCCTATCTCCTCTATAGTGAGCCTGCCCCCATCCTCTAGTAGTGAAGCCTGCCCTATCTCCTCTATAGTGAAGCCTGCCCCCCATCCTCTATAGTGAAGCCTGCCCCCATCCTCTATAGTGAAGCCTGCCCTATCTCCTCTATAGTGAAGCCTGCCCCCATCCTCTATAGTAAGCCCCTATCTCCTCTATAGTGAAGCCTGCCCCCATCCTCTATAGTGAAGCCTGCCCCCATCCTCTACAGTGAAGCCTGCCCTGCTCCTCTATAGTGAAGCCTGCCCCATCCTCTATAGTGAAGCCTGCCCCATCCTCTATAGTGAAGCCTGCCCCATCCTCTATATAGTGAAGCCTGCCCCATCCTCAATCACCCACATAAGTAAAATAAATTCATAATCGATTATAGAAACACGACAACACGCGACTATAGTTTCACTCTACTATGACTCACCTAACCTAACTTAACCTAACCTAACCTAACCTAACTTAACCTAACCTAACCTAACCTAACCTAACTTAACCTAACCTAACCTAACCTAACCTAACCTAACTTAACCTAACCTAACCATCTTTATGCCCGGTTTTCATTTGTGTGGTCCGGTGTGTAATGTCACGATGGTATGGAGGGTAGGATGTGAAGGGTAGGATGTGGCGTAGAAGGAGGGATGTGGCGTAGAGGGAGGGATGTGGCGTAGAGGGAGAAATGAAGGTGGTCGTTTTATGGTAATCTCGGACGCCCCAGTGTTCAAGGGTAGATTTTAAGGAAGGAAGAGGGAAGGGGTGGGGAGGAGGATAGGAAGAGGAGGGAAGGTAAGGAAGGGGTGGGGAGAAAGAGGAAGAGGAGGAAAGATAAGGAAGGAAGGGGGAGAAAGAGGAAGAGTAAGGGCAAAGAGGGCGAAAGGGAAGGGGCAAAAAGGGAGGAAGGTGAGGAAAGGAAAGGCAGAAAAGGAGGGAGGGGGGAAAGGAGGGAGACGAGGGAAAGGAGGAGAGGAATGGGGAAGAAGAGAGAGAAAGGGGAGGGGGTGGAGAAGAATAAGGAAGAAGGGGGAGAGGAGGAGATGAGGATTGATAAATCGAGAGGGAGAGAGGGATTTCATGGTGGTGGGTCAGGGTACAAGATGGTGGTGGGTCAGGGTACAAGATGGTGGTGGGTCAGGGTACAAGATGGTGGTGGGTCAGGGTACAAGATGGTGGTGGGTCAGGGTACAGGTACAAGATGGTGGGTCAGGGTACAGGATGATGGTGGGTCAGGGTACAAGATGGTGGTGGGTCAGGGTACAGGATGATGGTGGGTCAGGGCACAAGATGGTGATGGGTCAGGGTACAAGATGGTGATGGGTCAGGGTACAAGATGGTGGTGGGTCAGGGTACAAGATGGTGGTGGGTCAGGGTACAGGATGATGGTGGGTCAGGGTACAAGATGGTGGTGGGTCAGGGTACAGGATGATGGTGGGTTGCGGTGGGTGGTGGGTGAAAGTAGCTGTAGTAGTTAACAACCACGTGTTCATATCTCTCTTCTACCCAATACAGACGCAGACAGACAGACAGACAGACATTCAACCACATGTGTCTATCATCTTAACAAAATACTTTACAGCCATAATAAACATGTCTAATCACCTCTTTATTCAGTTAGTTTTGTAAACATTAATTTATTGATGTAAAGAAGATAATGAGTGAAGATTTTTATTTCATTATTTATTCAATTATAAAAGCGTTACTGTATTCATTATTTTTTTTTATCATGAATCTTTTTATTATATTTTCATGAGGTAATTTCTTAAGGGAGGATTATCGACGTGTGTGAATTATTTTATTGAACGTGTGTAGAAAGGAGGATCATGGTCGCCCAAATTAATTATATTCCTACAAACTAACCAGAGTAAAGCCAGCAGATTTATTCACCCTTAACAATAACATCCAATAAAATCTGCCATTAAAGATAGAAAAATAAGTTTCCTTTTTTCTTGTTGCTCATATGACCAACTAGGGTAGAAGTACATGGTAAAATACATATTGGCCTGCAAATATTTTATTGACTGTACACAGTAGAGAATGATATGGGCAGACTGGTGGAGAGAGATATCGATTGTTTAACTTTTATTACATCTATATATAATATTGTTTAGTAAGGTCACCCTGTGTACTTAAGCCTCTCACAGTCCTTGTACTTCAGTTGCCTCTGAAGATGTCTTGAATAAAGACGAAAACTAATGTGCTCCATTGTTTCCCTTTTTCCTGTGTGATTTTATCAAGATTTATCTTATCCAAGTTTTCATTGTGGATATATATATATATATATATATATATATATATATATATATATTATATATATATATATATATATATATATATATATATATATATATATATATATATATATATATATATATATATATATATCCTTGTTTCTCATGAGTTTTTCCTACTCTAATCAGGTGTTTGTACAGGATTAAAACTGAAGCAAGTTGGTGAGAGGTAAGAACGCCTTACCACCAACAAATTACTTGTCTACTTTGGCTGTAAAAGTAGTTGCAAGTTTAGTGCTGTAAATATGACTAACACAAGTAAGGTTAGTAACATAATACAGTCAGTAAGGATAGAAGTACACAGTTAAAATTCATATTGGCCTGCAAAAATTTTTATTGACTGTACACATGTGTATCTGCTGGATTGTGTTCAGAGGTCTGGTAGGAGCTGGAGGGGAGTCAAAACCTGTGATCAGAGTTCTGTATGTACAAGGAGGAAGTGTCGAGAAGGTGACGAGGGCGTTGGGCAGTTGGGTCAGAAAACCATTGATTTACTCGAAGGTGATTCCTCGAGCGCGCTGTTCTTCAGCGAAGGCGATCTGCTCGATGGCGTGAGCTGGTAGGGGGTGGGATGTGGGGATGAGGGCAGACTCGGGCTGGTAGCCGTTCTCGTTGGCGATAAAGCGAACCTCTGCAATGGATCCATCTTCCAATGGGAACCTGCAAAAAAGGTAAATAATAAATATATGATTTCCAAAAGCATATCTTCATCACCATCAGCAAAGAGGAAAAAATAGTTTATCAACAAAAGTTATGAAAACAAAAACAAAAATTAATTGTCACCTACCTGAAGACACCCTCCATGTTAACCTGACCCTCGGCGCCGGGCACGCCAGTCCTTTGCTCGGAGATGCCGTGACTCGTCTCAAAGTTGAAGTTGAAGTTGCCGTCACCAGAGTCGCTGCGCTCGTCAACCACCGTCTCGGCATCTTTCTGAGGTCGGGCAGCTGCCAGAACCACGAGGCAGGCAAACACAAACTGTCGTGGTGAGTGAGGGAACAAAGTGAATAGAGTTAGTGTTGATTCCGAGAGACTCTTTCTGACTGAGTATGGCAGATTGAGTAATTAATTGGCTTTTTGGTTGATTCATGGATAAATACTTCGTCACATCGGCCAAGAATATAACATCCTTGTGTTTATAAATATGCGTCTTTAGTGAAGATTTTGACGTCCAGAGAAACCTCAAATTTTGACATTCTCCTCAAATTTCAATAGAAGTCTAACATACAAGGTGACTCAGTAGCTTATATATGTTCAGTGATGAGACAACAAAAAGGTCATATGAAAGGGTAAGTGTATCACGGCTGCCAGCATATGCTAAGACCCAGTAGCTTATGGGTGACAGCCTGTACACGGTCACAGTCAAGTTACTCTTCGGTGGAAAAAAATTCAAGAAAAGGTGCAGTTCCATGGACGATTAAACAACATATAGGAGGAAAAATACCCTGATTCTATTTTTAATAATAGGGATGAAATGTGAAACAGAAGACAGAATTATTTGAGGCTAAGTAGACGGAAATCAATCGTGATGAAGGATTTAATATAAATTTCTCAGCCAAAGGTTTAGATTAATCTGAAGCAGCCCTCGGTCGGTCGACTTCCCTTCTCCCTCTGACTCTCTTGTTTATAATCACTACTGGTGGACATAAACACTAAGAGACCGAGCAAGTGTCGTTGCCTTTATCCACAGAAACACTGGAGTAACCAACGAAGACATGAATGCAAAGCTGACCACCTGCTTCTGGATGTCAACACGGAGAAGACTTAGCCAGGCAGCAGCTGTGTTGGGTCAGTACTCACGAGCTTCATGTTGGTGATGTTGTCGGTGTGAGGATCAGCTGAGGATGTTGTGTGTGTGCTGGAGGCGAGCTATATATACCCTCACGCTTGCCACTAAGACAGGTAGTAGTGGTTGTACTCAAGGTCCTAAAGTGAACTGGGGTAGGGGGGAGGTGTTGGAGGAAAATGCGTGAGAGGTAGAGAGAGGAGTGATGACGATAAGAAGTGATGAAAGAGAAAGAGTAACTTAGAAGATGGGGAGAAGGAAAATGAGCTGGAGGGAAGGATATGGCAGCCAGGGAGTGGGGTGATAGAAGGTTGGGGGGAGGTGAAGAGGGAGACAGACTTGAGGCTAAGTGAAGAAAGAAAGACATTGGAGGACAAAGAGGAAGATTTAGAGATAAGTTAGAGAGAGGAGGAATAAAAGATGGCGTAGGAAGGAGAGAAAGAGACATTTATTTATATACGTCGTAAATTTTTATGTTGATTCTTGATAATATTCCAAACTATAAAACTTAATAAAAGATGAACACCTGAAATCGTAGAAAATGGGAAACTATTATTGTTTTGTTGTTAGTTTGACTTTCTTTCACTTTGAACAAATAATAATCTATATGAAGGAACAACGTGTTTTGATGCTGAGAAATATGGCGTATTCAGTTTGTTATTGTTCTGAAGGACGACGTAAGCCTGGAGGAACAGCAAGGTAGAATCTGACGTAAGCCTGGAGGAACAGCAAAGTAGAGTCTGACGTAAGCCTGGAGGAACAGCAAAGTAGAGTCTCACGTAAGCCTGGAGGAACAGCAAGGTAGAGTCTGACGTAAGCCTGGAGGAACAGCAAAGTAGAGTCTCACGTAAGCCTGGAGGACAGCAAGGTAGAGTCTGACGTAAGCCTGGAGGGAACCAGCAAAGTAGAGTCTCACGTAAGCCTGGAGGAACAGCAAAGTAGAGTCTCACGTAAGCCTGGAGGAACAACAAGCTGAGAGTCTGACGTAAGCCTGGAGGAGACAGCAAGGTGAGGAGTCTAACGTAAGCCTGGAGGAACAGCAAAGTAGAGGTCTCACGTAAACTGGAGGACAGCAAGGTGAGGAGTCAACGTAAGCCTGGAGGACAGCAAGTAAGAGTCTGACGTAAGCCTGGAGAACAGCCAAAGTAAAGTCAGCAGCAAAGCCCTGGAAGAGAACAAGCAAGTGAGTCTCCCACGTAAGCCTGCGGGCAGCAGGTGAGTCTAACGTAAGCCTGGAGGACAGCAAAGTAGAGAGTCAACCCCGTAAAGCCTGGAGGAACAGCAAAGTAGAGGTCTGACGTAAGCCGGAGGACAGCAGGTAGAATCTAACGTAAGCCTGGAAGAGGAACAACAAAGTAGAAGTCTCACGTAAGCCTAGAGGACAGCAAGGTAAAGTCGGCATGTATGCCTGGAGAGGACAGCAAGTGAGAATCTAACATCAAGCCTGGAGGAACAACAAGTAGAGTCTCACGTAAGCCTGCTGGAGGACAACTGAGGTAGAGAGTCTAACGTAAGCCTGGAGACAGCAACCAAGGTGAGTCTAACGTAAGCCTGGAGGACAGCAAAGAGTAGAGTCTGACGTAAACCTGGAGGGAACAGCAAAGTAGAGAGTCAACGTAAGCCTGGAGGAACAGCAAAGTAAGAAGTCTCCGCGTAAGCCTGGAGGAACAGCAAAGTAGAGTCTAACGTAAGCCTGGAGGAACAGCAAAGTGAAAGGTCTAACGTAAACTGGAGGGACAACAAGGTAGAGTCTGACGTGAAGCCTGGAGGAACAGCAAAGTAGAGTCTCACGTAAGCTGGGACAGCAAGGTAGAGTCTCACGTAAGCCTGGAGGAACAGCAAAGTAGAGTCTCACGTAAGCCTGGAGAAACAATAAAAATGGAAAACGACTTATTCTAACAAAATCAAGGAAGTTACAGCATCACTAACAAGGAATATTTATACTTTAATTTTACTCATAAAAAAAAACTAAAATTCATCTTTTTTTTTTTTTACCAACTGTTGATTTACATTTCTTAACTTTCACCCACAGAGGGTTTCTTATTAGAGCAACATTACGATGCAGTAGTGAATAGAATTAAACTATTATCAGGAACTTTTGTATAATAAGTTTTAAGGTTTGTTTATATTTTCCTAACTCCCCCACCTTGAAAATAAATAATAATAAAATGAAACAATAACAAAAATATCAAGGTAAACTTCTTCACTTTCAAGGAAGATAAACTCATCACTTAGGCACTAGACTCACTCTTAGCTTCTTCTCGGCATACGTACCTGACCCTGCTTGGGCCGTCAACACCAGCCTGTACCGTTAACACCTGCCTGGGCCGTCAACACCAGCCTGTACTGTTAACACCTGCCTGGGCCGTCAACACCAGCCTGTACCGTTAACACCTGCCTGTACCGTTAACACCTGCCTGGACCATCAACACCTGCCTGGACCATCAACACCTGCCTGGACCATCAACACCTGCCTGGACCGTCAACACCTGCCTGGACCGTCAACACCAGCCTGTACCGTTAACACCTGCCTGCACCGTCAACACCTGCCTGGACCGTCAACACCTGCATATATTATAATATTACCTCAAGATACATAGACCAAGAGGAGTTAACAGGGTGTAAACATCGCTCGTGTGTTGTAAGTTAATGGTCGAGTCGAGAACAAGGATGATGACAAGGAAGAAGATTACTTTTTGTTTCTAAGTTAATTCTAAGTAGAGTTATTGTCATTGTTGTTGTTTTTAAGTAGAAAATTACTTAATTGTGTCTTCTTCTTTTTTTCCACTCGATTTTATTTGATGTTCGTTCTTTTATTTTCACTTCCTGCCTATTGTATTCTTCGTTATCCTTATATAGAATTATTGTATATTTCTCCTATTCTCTCTACCATTTCTATATCTCATTTATCTTTGTTTTCTCTTTTATCATTCTTGTATATTTTGTTAACCATTTTTTTTATCTTCAGTCTTTACTGGATCAGTTAATTCGCCTATTATTATTATTATTATTATTATTATTATTATTATTATTATTATTATTATTATTATTATTATTATTATTATTATTATTATTATTATTATTATTATTATTATTATTATTATTATTATTATTATTATTATTATTATTATTATTATTATTATTATTATTATTATTATTATTATTATTATTATTATTATTATTATTATTATTATTATTATTCACTAAGTCATATCAGGTATATAATCCTAACTTGTAATTCACACTCCCAGTTACTTTTTTCCCCCTAAAGAGCAGAGGTTGACATAGGGGGTTATTAAGGCACAATATGAAGGTTGACACTTTATTAATGTAATTGTCTGCCTCGTGTACATGGTTATTCTTATGGAGGTTTAGTTAATGTCTTATGTTGAAGTAGAGGAGGAAAGTTATCATTTTAAATCTTCAAGAAATATGTTTCCTTTGATCTGAATAAACAAAAGATACCTGACTCTACCTGGCCAATGGTGACGTAATAGACTGTAATAGACTGTTCGCTTCTCTGGTTCACTTAAACAGAAGGTCAGTTCTATGTGTTGACTTGATTTTAGGTCAGGAATCATATACCGATAACAGAATTAGGACTCTCTCTCTCTCTCTCTCTCTCTCTCTCTCTCTCTCTCTCTCTCTCTCTCTCTCTCTCTCTCTCTCTCTCTCTCCGCCGGCAACAGCTCTCAGATAATATGAGTTACCTCTCATCTCTTAATAGAGTGATTACTATCTTAGAATGATATCTGATAAAAGAAACCTTGGCAGCGATAGAGAGAAAGAGAGGGGAAGGAGAGAGAGAGAGAGAGACAGGGAGAAAGAAGACAGGGAAGGAAACAGGAGAAAGGGAAGATAAAGAGAGAGAAGACAGGGAAGGAAACAGGAGAAAGGCAAGATAAAGAGAGAGAAGACAGGGAAGGAAACAGGAGACTTATTCATTAATCGAGTCATTTGGTTGATTTAAAAGACAGACAGACAGATAGAAAAACAGACAGAGAAGATAATAAAACAATATTTAGAGAAACAAAAAAACAAAACATTGATACACGAATTAAAGAGAATGAGAGACAGAGAGACAAACGGAAAAAAAATAAGAAAAAGACAAACAACTTCAATGGCTCAAACTGGCACTAACAAGGTTCAAGGTCTTCATGTCCACACACACACACACACACACACACACACACACACACACACACTCACATGATCTACGTGTGTAAACATTAATCTGTATGTTCACTGTATGTTCCTTTACCTTTCTCTAATGAAGGCTTTTGTTAAACCACCAATGTATGTAATAAGTCATTTATGTCCAATGTATATTTTCAGCCTTCGGGTTGCAAACTTTTTCAAAAAACCGATTATTATTATTATTATTATTATTATTATTATTTTATTATTACACACACACACACACACACACACACACACACACACACACAGTAACACCGATTGCTGTCTCTATTAGGATAAGTCCTTGAGGGATCTTGTTTACCCGAGGATGCATGAATATTAAAAGAGAGAGAGTGAGGAAAAAAAGAATAAAAGAGACGAGTTGTGTTTTATTACTTGAGCTCACATTGGCAGACCTCCAAGTTGGCCGAACGGTACTTTGTAGGTTGACGATTATTGAGAGAGGATTCGTATGTTAGGTTTAGGTTAGGGTTTAGTTAGGTATTATAACGTAAAGACTATCACTATTTTTCAATCATATATGGGGTCAGAGCAAATGTCCTTAAGCTATTGATTATATATTAAATTATCCAATAGAGGTAAACAGAAACTAAAGTTAAAGAATAACTCGTAGAATAAACTAAGTGTCATGACGGTGTTCAATTTGATATGGACGTCATAACGTTCAGACAACAATGGAGTAAAGGATTTTTTTTTTAATCTATTTCTTACTTTTATCTGTGATTATACTTACTTGTTATTATATTTGTATAGTAGTAGTAGTAGTATTAGAGTAGTATTAGTAGCAGTGGTAGTAGTAGTAATAGGATTTGCTATTGGGGGAAGCTGGAGGCCAATTAAGAAAAAAAAAGTTGCAGATATTGACTGTGAGGCAACAGTCACTGAATGCCGCAAAGATCTGCGGCTCAACTAACTCAACACAACTAGGGTAACTACTTTTGTATTAGGATATTTAATTTTAAGGTAATAAAATGGCGGCTAGAGGCCAAAGTGATAAGTTGCAGTAACTGTTGCTGCAAGTACCAGAGAATTTGAAAAAAAAAGTAGCTATAGCGCAGGAGGTGGGCACCTCGAACAGGTTAACTACGTTACCGATAAGGGCAAATGGTTTCAGTCCCAATTAAAAAAAATTTACAGATGCCAATGCTCTAAGGAACGGTAGGGCAGTAGAAGGTTTGCTCTCCCAATGCGTGTGTGGCTCTTCCTATGACGTTGATCACGCCATGGTGTGTGTAGGTTATGTATATAAGCTACTGTGCCGAGTAGCAACCCTGTACATAAGCTACTGTGCCAAGTAGCATTTATATATATTATCACGTGGCAACACTGCACGTGTTATGTGGCAACATTGCCCCGAGGCTGCCATATGGCAAGGCGCCTCAGTCTGACTGCGTGAGCTGTGCATGGCACACAGCGTCACCACTTGTATTTCTCTCATCCACAATAAACGAACTCAGTGTTACTCAGTGTTTCCCTAGCCATCACTGCATTCTTCAGGGCACACTAGTAACCTTCAGTGTGCAAGAAAGGGGGCTTCATATGCATGCGGCATGACGAAGTAAGGGATCTCACACAAATATGTTGAAGGAAATCTACCGTGATGTCAGGGTAGAACCGACCCTCCTTCCATTGGACGGTGAGATTTTTCACCATAGGACTTCAAACACATCCAACGAAGCCTGTGTTGACGTCAGTGCTCGAGGATTCTGGAGGCGGGGACAGCGAGCTTTCTTCGACATCAGGATTTTTGATCCCATGGCCGCATGTCACCGTAACTTAGCTCTCGATGCTGCACACAGGAGGAACGAGAACGACAAGATAAGGGCGTACGAGGAGAGAATTCAGAACGTTGATCAAGGCAGCTTCACTCCTCTAGTGTTCACAATCTCTGGTGGGATGGGACCAAGTGCATGATGCTTCTACGCCAGACTCGCGGAGGTGATATCCTAACAGAAGCAGCAGCCCAGAAGTTATGTTGCAGCCTGGATGAGATGTCGACTGTCCTTCTCTCTTCTTCTGTCGGCTTTGCTCTGCATCTGGGGAACGAGAGCATCGGCCCCAAAGCCGACAACAGCTGCAGATATCGACTATGAGGCAACAGTCACTGAATGCTGCATAGATCTGCTGCTCAACTAACTCAACACAGCTAGGATATCTACTTGTGTATTAGGATATTTAATATTAAGGTAATAAAATGGTGGCGAAGGTATGGCTATTGGGGGAGGATGGAGGCCTTAAAAAAAAAGTAGTCGTAGAGGTAACAAGCCACCACACATCCCCGCACATCCTCCACGACACACATCCCCGCACAGTCTCCACAACACACATCACCACACAGCCTCTACAACACACATCCCCGCACAGCCTCCACGACACACATCCCGGCACAGTCACCACGACACACATCACCACACAGCCTCCACAACACACATCACCACACGGCCACCACGACACACATCCCCGCACAGCCTCCACGACACACATCCCCGCACAGTCTCTACAACACACATCACCACACAGTCTCCAGAACACACATCATCACACAGCCTTCACAACACACATCACCACACAGCCTCTACAACACACATCCCCGCACAGCCTCCAACACACACATCACCACACAGCCCCACAACACACATCACCACACAGCCCCACAACACACATCCCTGCACAGCCTCCACAACACACACATCACCACACAGGCTCTACAACACACACCACGGACAGCCCATAACACACATCACACGGTCTGGCAACACACATCACCTGGCCACACAGCCTCCATACAACACACATCCCCTGCACAGCCTCCACAACACAAGGTCACCACACAGCCTTGGCAACATACATCCCACAACACACACACCCCACACACAGCCCCCACACACCACAGACCCAACACACTGTCATCAGCCCACAACACACACCACAGATCCAGACACACTGGCTGTCAATACACATCACCACCACACAGCAAACACACACTGGCCCCACACAGCCCCTACACACACACACAGCCCACACACACCACACAGCCTGGCAACACACATCACCACACAGCCTCTACAAACACACACTAAATGCACACAGCCCCTACACACATCACACAACACACACACCACACAGCCCACAACACACCATGGCTGGAAGCCCCACAACACACATCACCACACAGGATCTGCAGGTACATCACCACACAGCCACCACAACACACATCACCACACAGCCCACAGAAACACACATCACACCACAGCCTCACAACACACACATCACCCACACAGCCCACAACACAAGCGGTCACCACAGCCTACAACACATTGATCACCACACACAGCCCCACAACACACACACACACAGCCTTCACAACACACATCACCGCTGCCAGCCTCTACAACACACACCACACGGTCTTCACAACAAACACACACGCTCACACAGCCTCTACAACACACATCACCACACAGGATCTACAACACACATCACCACACGCCTTCACAACACACATCACTACACGGTCTTCACAACACACATCACCACACAGGATCTACAACACACATCACCACACGGCCTTCACAACACACATCACCACACGGCCTTCACAACACACATCACCACACGGCCTTCACAACACACATCACCACACGGCCTTCACAACACACATCACCACACAGGATCTACGACACACATCACTGTCAGTATTACTATTTCTATACACCTACACACACATTCGAGCACATACGTACAGACACCCACACACCATATATTAAGTTAATCTTCCTATATTTTAACATCGTTCTACACGTCACTTCATTGTGTTTGCTAAATCTTCTTTTCTACTTAACATAATAATCGACATTTTGGGGGTTTTGTATATGGAAAAAAAATTACCGCACAGGATAATTATAATAGAACACAACTATAACAGGCAGGACGACAACGGATGATGGCTCAGGACCAGGTCTTCGTCTTGATGTTATTTGAACGGGATAGGGCCGGCACGTTGGAATGAGACATCCACAGCAGCAGGTTTTAAGGGCAGAACAGGAGGTCTTGGGGGCAGAACAGGAGGTCTTGGGGGCAGAACAGGAGGTCTTGGGGAGTCAACAACACGGTAGCCGTTCTCGTCGGCGATGAAGTTGACCACAGTGACGGTGCCGTCAGGATGAGTGAAGCTGAATGGACGCAAAGATAATATTTACAGCTATATATTAAAAGACTTCTAATAAACATCTTTCATGAATCAAGTAACTCACAGAGGAAGGCTCAACAAGGTTTACTTACGAGTAGGATCCCTGCATGTTGCTCTGGCCCTCTACCCCAGGGGTGCCCTGCCTCTCCTCCGTGATGCTATTGCTGGTTTTGAACCGGTAGTAGAAATTTCCATCTCCATCATCCTGGCGCTCGTCTACCACGGTCTGGGCGTCCCGGTCAGGATGGGGTGCGGCGGCGGTCACGGCGACCAGGCAGGCGAGGAGTACCTGGTCCCTCAGGGAAGACAACATGTTGAGTCATAAACCTTACCTGAGAGTTATCATTAGTTTGATTTGTTTTTTTTTTGTTTTTTTTTATGTCAAAATTTTTCTTTCTATAGAATCTTAATATTAAACAATGACATAAATGAGCGGAGAAGAATGTCAGTATTTGTTGAGTGAAATCTTTAACATTTTATAAGCACATTATAATCAACATTCCTTAACCTTCTTCTTGGAGCAATATAACTAAACGTTGACCTATTATAACAGAACACTTACAAAATACCCCAAAAATACAGACAAAGGATTGGTCTAATAATAGCAGGGACTTCGGAGGCAGGAGGAAATATATTGGTTATAAATTTGACTGATCCATCAGCCATCACAACTGTCATTTAAACAATGAAAGGTAAGCTGGCGTTTGTTTACAACCAAACGCAAACAACAGTCTCTAATACTAATAAATAATGAACAGTAAACAACGATATTTTGATAATTTAAAATGTTTCTGGCCATCACTCACGAGCCTCATGTTGTCGGTACGAGGATCAGCTGAGGATGTTTGTGGTTCTCTCTGGTATATATATACTGTATGTATACCCACACACCAGCCCCGAAGGCCAAAGAGGTGCAGATAAAGAAGAGGTGGAGAAAGCTGGAGGCGGGATAAAAATAGTAATATAACTCTTATGTATTGAACAGTTAATTTGTGAAGGTTACAGGAGTAAGATAACTGGGAAATTAAATAGTTGATGCAACGTGTTTTTAATTTGTGGGTAAATCATACATTTTTTTAACGTTCCCTGTAACTGCTTCACTTATTACAAATTATATATATATATATATATATATATATATATATATATATATATATATATATATATATATATATATATATATATATATATATATATATATATATATATATATATATATATATTTTTTTTTTTTTTTTTTTTTTATAGTGTTTAAGTCTTTATTTACGTCCAATACATAGAGACGGCATTGCTACATACAGAGACCAACTGACAGTCATACACACATCACCACACAGCCTCACACACACCACACAGCCTCTACAACACACATCACCACACAGCACATCACCAAACAGCCTGTACAACACACATCACCACACAGCCTCTACAACACACATCACCACACAGCCTACAACACACATCACCAAACAGCCTGTACAACACACATCACCACACAGCCTCAACAACACACATCACCACACAGCCTCTACAACACACACATCACCACACAGCACACATCACCACACAGCCCCCTACAACACACATCACCACACAGCCCCACAACACACACCACCACACAGACACAACACACATCACCACACAGCATCCCCACAACAACACACATCACCACACAGCCTCTACACACACATCACCACACAGCCCTACAACACACATCACCAAACACCTCTACACACACCACACAGCACAACAGCCTACAACACACACACCACACAGCCTCTACAACACACATCACCACACAGCCTCTACAACACACATCACCACACAGCCTCTACAACACACATCACCAAACAGCCTGTACAACACACATCACCACACAGCCTCTACAACACACATCACCAAACAGCCTGTACAACACACATCACCACACAGCAACACACATACAACACACATCACCACACAGCCTCTACAACACACATCACCACACAGCCTCTACAACACACATCACCAAACAGCCTGTACAACACACATCACCACACAGCCTCTACAACACACATCACCAAACAGCCTGTACAACACACATCACCACACAGCCTCTACAACACACATCACCACACAGCCTCTACAACATACATCACCACACAGTCACTACGACACACATCACCACACAGTCACTACGACACACGTCACCACACAGTCACCACGACACTATGATCTGGTTTACCTCGCCCTTAGCAAATCCCTCGACAAGATCCCCCTCGAAAGACTCATGTTATTGGAAGGAAAATTCTGAACTGGATTATAGCAAGGTTAGTGGACATGAAACATAGAGTCAGCATTTATTTCAGTAAATCCGATTGGGGTAACGTCACTAGTGGAGTACCCAAGGGTCAGTACGCGAACCCTTACTATCTGTTGTATACGACATTGGTATAGGCGTTGGCAGCAAGATAAGTAAATTTGCTGACAACACAAAATTAAGACGAATTATTTAATCAGACGAAGACTAAAACAAAAATACTGGAAAACCTAAACAAACTTGTGATCGATGTTAGCTACTTCGCTGGTTCAGCTTTGTGTTGACTGAAGAAACAGTCTTGAACTGTTTCAGTGAATTCCTCCTTTTCTGAATTCCCCTTAAAGTTAGTCTAATTTCTTTACTAAAGTTAGTCTCCTACTATACAGGCTTTGAAATAACTGGATACCCTAAATATTTCATTCCCAAATAAGTGGACCTTCAAGCCGATCAAGATAAGAAGGCATAAATATATTACTCCGATGAATGATTTTTCTCTATCATTGGTTAGTTCTTTCCCAACTTTTGGGGAATTCAAATTGTTTGTAATTTCCTTTTGATGCCACACTCAAATTTTCCGTGACATAATCTACTACCCCGCCTCCCCTCCTGATCTGCCTAATGGTGTGAAGTAATATTCAGTATATCCTCTAATTTAATATTCAAAAGGTAACTCACGCATGTCTAAGGTAATCCCAAACTCTGAATTCTTCCGTCTTATTTTTATACTTCTACTGTTTGCGTGGCAGACATTTAAGGTAGTCTTGCTCTGAGTTTTCCTTCACCCAAGGTTGGGTTTCATTCCTTAATTAATTTCGCTACGCTTATTTTGCCACCATATGCCAACTGCTGCCCCCAGATATGATCAGCGTTGGTGCATTACGACCATCGTTTACTCCAGCGTGAAGGCAGATGAATACATCACCATTCTCAATTACTCTTCTAATAGGTCTGGCTCCTTTGGTACGCCTATTTCTTGTTGATGACTTTAGTGATACTTCATAATACCCAGCAATACAATGTTTATGCGGCTGAAGGAGTCTCCAAAGTCTCCAAATGTTGCTACTTCCTTTGGTTTTCCAATAGTAATCACCATTGCCTGGCCATCAACGATGAGGGCTGCATCATCACCACCCTCCCCTTTACTCAATTTTGTCGGACACTGTACTTCTGCTGTTAGAACCTGGTAGAAAACGCATTTGGACCCTGTCCGTAGACCTCAATTCATTTCTGCCAGTGCTACTTGGACCGGTAGAGGCTCGTGGCAAAGGATTTCATTTAAGTTTATTGTTTAACCAGATTGGTGAGCTATTAGCTAATCAGACCTTGTTCCCTTTGTTTCTCTGCAGGGCTTTCGAAAATTTACCTTTTGTTAATTTTTTTTTTAATTTTGTTCTTCACAAATGTGTTGAGTTGCTTCTGTCCTTTCTCTCTAACATGTAACAGACTCTCTCCAATTTCCTGTGTGGCCATGTCTTTTGTCACAATATTGTGCAAGAATGGTACCCCTTCATCAGAAAATAATTTCAGTGACATCATAGTAGTCATCTATCTGTCTTCAATTTGGTTGTCATGTTTCCGTCTAGAACTCAAGGTTTCATTGTGCTGAGGCGTATCTTCAGGTTCTGTGTCTAGATTGTACACAATTTTTGTTTCTTGTGACATGTGTGATCTATACAAAACAGTAGAAGTGTTGGTTTTGCCAATTATGCCACCTTCCTTCTTCCAGTGGCATTGAGCCATCCCTGGTTATGGTCTGGGTCAACATGGTTAAACTTACGATTTGACCCCTTCACTACAAAATTCTCTTCCTGAAATTCATGTTGCACCTCTGCTGGAAGTTGGTGCATCCAGTTCACATACATCAATTCCCAACGTGCATAGTGTGTATGATTATATCTCATAAATAGTGGGAACTTGGCCTCAAATGCATAAAGCTGTCGTACTTCAGTTACTCAGTTTTCTGAAAAAAATATCAAATAATAACCTGCTAAAAAATACATCCATCAGTGTTTACAATGCTAAATATGAACTCCTTTACCCCCAAAACATAGAAAACGACACCAAACGTATTGTTCTAGCTACTCTACAGGCCAAGATATAGTAAATCTTATACCGCAGTGGTGATCGCGGCGGCCATGTTGTTTTCCGCGAATTTAAAGGTTAAGACCGGTCTGGCGATACGACAGACACCAAATCTGGATTCAGCACACTCAAACTAGGGGGTTACGTAGTGTGTCAACTTTTCTACAAAAGTGCTCTAGAACTTTAAGAAGTCTTTTCTTAGATGTTCAACCATTTTACTACTTCGGTGAACATAAACTTCTTAAAGATATTTTAGATGAGAACATTGCCGCAGAGGATAATCATACTAAAACACAACTATAAAATACTAAATTTCTCAGAGCTTATGCCAGTGTTCATGAGACAGGTAAAATCCTCAACAAAAGATGAGTGACAATCAGTGAGAGAAGTATTAGGCAAGGCAGCAATGAAAGGTTCGGGAGGAGGTCATTATTTTCATGTTAATCAAAGGGAATAGGGCGTGCAGGGGCAAATGCGGCCTGGGTAATAGTAATTGGTTTGGGGGGCGGAGGAGTTATTGTGGGCTCAACAAGAGGTCTTGGGGGCAGAACAGGAGGTCTTGGGGAGTCAACAACACGGTAGCCGTTCTCGTCGGCGATGAAGTTGACCACAGAGACGGTGCCGTCAGGGTGAGTGAAGCTGAGAGGAGATAAATAAAATATTGCACTTACGCATAGATGACCAAATCCTATCTGATTTTTTTTTACTTACAAGACTTCTTATAAACATCTTTCATAAATCAAGTAACTCACAGAGGAAGGCTCAACAAGGTTTACTTACGAGTAGGATCCCTGCATGTTGCTCTGGCCCTCTACCCCAGGGGTGCCCTGCCTCTCCTCCGTGATGCTGTCGCTGGTTTTGAACCGGTAGTAGAAATTTCCATCTCCATCATCCTGGCGCTCGTCTACCACGGTCTGGGCGTCCCGGTCAGGATGGGGGGCGGCGGCGGTTACGGCGACCAGGCAGGCGAGGAGTACCTGGTCCCTCAGGGAAGACAACGTGTTGAGTCATAAACCTTACCTGAGAGTTATCATTAGTTTGTCTTGTCTCTGTTTTCATTTTCTTTTATTGTCCAAATTTTTCTTTCTACAGAATCTTAAAATTAAACAATGACATAAATGAGCGGAGAAGAATGTCAGTATTTGTTGAGTGAAATCTTTAACATTTTATAAGCACATTATAATCAACATTCCTTAACCTTCTTCTTGGAGCAATATAACTAAACGTTGACCTATTATAACAGAACACTTACAAAATACCCCAAAATACAGACAAAGGATTGGTCTAATAATAGCAGGGACTTCGGAGGCAGGAGGAAATATATTGGTTATAAATTTGACTGATCCATCAGCCATCACAACTGTCATTTAAACAATGAAAGGTAAGCTGGCGTTTGTTTACAACCAAACGCAAACAACAGTCTCTAATAAACGTAAAATTATGAACACGCAATCAGCTGTACACTAAACAATAATCCAACAGCGACATTTAAAAAATATATATGTTTCTGACCAGTACTCACGAGCTTCATGTTGTCGGTACGAGAATCAGATGAGGATGTTTGTGGTTTCTTTGGGACTAGTTATATATATACCCACACACCAGCACCGGAGGCTAGAGAGGTGGAGAGGGAGAGGTGGAGAATGCGGAAGGCGGGATATACTATAATAGAAACGTAAGTCTCCTGCACGCAGCTGCAAAGGATGTGAAGGTCATGTGGGTAAGGGTGTGTGTCAGCAGCTGGGTGTAAGATGACGGTGTAGTTAGATTGTTTCTACTTGGTGGGTAAATCGTTAATTTTCTTATTGTTTCCTGTAAGGCTATGAGTATACAGTACATCTTTTGACACATAGTTGAGACGACCGGGTGTGGAGTCAAATAAACAACATTCAGTGAGGTTCATCATGACGTAGATTTACGTGGAGTGGGCGTTTTCATTTTTACGATGATGTAACATAACGTTGTAACGTCACCTCCAGGAGTAATTATGTAGTGTCATCATTTTCCTTTGCACATTTAACTCTTCGGTAACTCCTATCTCCGAATAGCAACTGAATAGCCACCGGTTAGATACAAGATTTACTATGAGTCAAGGCGCAGTAAACGAATGATGTTCGCCGACAGGCTTGGAGACCTCTGGCGGCTACAACCAGCAATATAATCTTTGATAAGTTTTACACATTGATGGCGTTCTTTCCGCCCACCAAGGAGATGGATAGGAAGCGCTGACAAACCAACAATATTTATTAAACAATGAATATTAATATTTTCTATATTTATTATTGAATAATATCGCTTAATTTGCCTAGACAACTGTCCATGGGTGATGATGCTCCCCTCCACCACTAAATCTCTCCCCCCATCCTACCTCCCTACACCCATCCATTCTTCCTCCCTTGACTCCCCCCCCCCCTCCTTCTCTCCTTTAACCAGAAGAATCCATATTTGCCTCAAATGTAAACAAATTAAAGGTGGTGAGGGAGTTCTATTGGCATAAATTACTTAACGTATCATATAATTTTTTCCAATTAGTGAATATAATATAAAAGGTAATCCAGAGTTTATTTTGCTCAAAAACAATTACAATTATTGTATAACCCACAAGAGTAAAATGTTTCACTATACTGGAGAATGACTGTGACATATTTTGCAATATACAATATAACATATATATTATTCAAGTTGTATTGACAATGTTGAGACGGCAATGCACTTTTTTAAGAGGTCAGAAGTAAGTAAATATTTGCATTTATTTTTTCTAATTATATGTTTACATACAAAGATTTATTTGGAAGGGCTTCATAATAACAGATTATGTCTATTATCACCAAAATATTAATTGGGTTATTAACAGCGAGCCATCGTCCGTCAGCGTCACTGGTCTGATTGTAATGTACAGTCTCGTTCAAGATTATTCGAACACTGCTGGAGACAGCTGGCAACTCAAGGCCGTTTGTTTACTATAGTACGTAGTAAAAATTATGAATGAATGTAAAAGTAATCGGTGATTGGTCACTTAGTTCCCTATTGCCTAATTAATGGTTGGACTTTGTTGTTTCGTATTATATTATACTACGTACTATAGTAAATAAACAGCCTTGAGTTGCCAGCTGTCTCCAGCAGTGTTCGAAGAATCTTGAACGAGACGAGACTGTATAATCGAAACAAAATTCCCCAAACAGTTTTGTCAGTTCCTGGCATCATTTACCTGGTGGTCATGTAGGTAAGAGAGGTTGGTGTTTTAACGCCTATATACTTAAAGTATAGTGTAATTATGATAAAAGGAATAATAATTCAGCAGCTATAAATCAAACACACAAATGACCCACAAATACCCCCACAGGAGTCCTGTCGCCTCTCCTACTGAACCACGAATCCCGAGATTCAGACTCGTGAACCCGAAGTATTTAAAGACAGAAAAATTTATAAGTGTCAACTGCTTCGGAATTATGAGTGTGAAGCTCGAGGCTCGTGGAACAGCAGGACTTGTATGGGTATTGCCAAGTGCTGAGGGAACTCTGGCCTTGTTTATAATTATATTCGTTAAACATGGCAGCTTACTGTAAATTAACCGCTAAATCGTCTTTCATCCAGCAGTTTTATTAGTTGTAATAAAACAATTATTGAACTATGAAACAAAATGATACAGAAATAAGGTAATTGCTAATGTCACAAACTTTTTAAAAAGCATCTTCTGGGTGTCTATAACTAAGCATTTAATTTTATATATATTTTTGTACAGGATAAGACTGCTCGAATATGTTGTCGATATTACGCCATCATGGTCTTGAAGTATAATCATCTTATAAGGAACAAACTTACCACGGTCAGTTAAGTGGAGAGAACTGATAGGGATGAATCTCTGTTTATTTACACAGACCAGCTGATCTCCTCGACCGCCTCCTAAGATATCATTATGGTGTTCACTCTTCTCTTCTGATCCTGGACGATCCCTGATACCACATTAAAAACAAACCATTTTTATTTCACGCTTAACATGTGAATCAGGTCGACATACTGCCTTAGTCTTTGCCATATACAGTACGTCATAAACACGAAAGTTTCCTGTGGTTGTGACAATATTAATATCAGTGTTAGTTTTAGTATTAGTAGTAGGATATGTTTAACCATATGTGTTTCATTAGGTCGTTGAAAAAAATATATTTTATGAGCCTTTAAATTACGACTTTCTAAACATGTTCAATTTTTACCCATAATTTTTCTATAAGATATTAAATATTTATTACTACAAAGATCTATGACATCTCATAGATTTCTTTCGCCCATCTATTTATTTTATTATTTTTTTTATTTTTTTTCTTCATATACCACAACGGAACAGAAACGTGAGGCAATAAAATAAGTAAAATGTTGAAGAATTAGCGAGACAACCAAATACCCTTCATCAGGACGATTTTCACCCCTGGTAAACCTCACCATCTAGTGCGTGAGCGAAGTACTAAATTACAAAACGACTCGGGAGTAACTGCTTTAAAACCCTAATCCTTGCCATTACCCCTATGCTGCCTTCAGTATGAGACTTTTCATTTATTATTAATCTTACCTACTTAACGTTATTAGAATATTGCAATTCATTATGTACTATACTATATGGCATGATGGAAATCAATCAATACAGGCAATGCAATCTCACGTAAATGATTTACATATTGTAGTGTTACTTCACTCTCATTTACATACATAGGTGACTTGTTTACATGGTATATACTGTACTTGTTGGGCAACATCTCATATGGTTGTGTTTTCAGTTATCATTAGTACTAATGGTTCCTTTGTGTTCACAATCATTCAAAGTACTGTACATAAACTGAAAACCTTGTGCCCCCTTTATACTGACAAATTAGTTTGCTTGCACTACAAAACCATCCCCAAAAATGTACGGGGGGAATAAACTATAATGAAATTTAAGCTAAAAAACAGTAGTATACGAATACTTCTTTTTATTACAAGAAGTGTCAGACAAACACAAGCACAACTATTTCTTAACACATGAAGTAAACATTCAAATGTTTCAGTTTAGGAGGAGAGCTGCGAGGATTGAATGAACCCGGGGTGAAGTGTTGGCTGCATCGAACAGAATTTCTGTTGAGTTTTGAGACTGGCTTATTTAAACACAGTTGTGCAACCTGTAACCACTTTTGACATCTGCTAGGAGGGGAAGGTGTCATTAAAGATAAATCTAATTAAAGAATTGTAAGAATTGTTTTTCATTGGTATTTTATTGGGGTAAAATTGTATTTTCATCCCCACACCTCTTTCAACATGGAAGTTTTGTTTGTGTGTTTTATGGTTATCAAACGATTAAAATCTTCATTGCTTTTTTTAAAAATAGAACGTTTGGCCCCAAATCATTACGTTACTAAAAATTTGTTTTTTACTACTATAACCGTGTTTACGTAAATAAGTTATTTAATTTCCGACGCTATTATGCATTTGCGACGAAATGTTATAGAAGAAAAGTTTCTTATAATAGCCTTTTCAGTATGTTACAAAAAAAATATCGATTCTATGGAAGTGAAAAACTGCAATAATACCACTCACTCTATTTTGGGCCAAGAATATGAAAGAGCACACACAAAAAAGTCTGTGATTAAGGTCAAACTCTCTAATAATACCCATTTCTGGCGTAAATCATGATCCTACAACCAGGGGTTTCCAACCTGTGGGTCGCAACCCCACAGGGGGTCGCGGAGGGTTGGCTGGGGGGGTCGAGAAACCTTGGAAGAACTTGGTAGCCTTGGGAGAACAACTTAGTACATCATCAGGAACATTACCAAAACTTTCATTTCGCTGATACGCCAATAACCTAGAACACACAACATAATGTTGTGCCGGTGGAGTAGGCACAACATCGATGAATTAATGACTGTTTTCTCTTTCTTCCCCTTTCCTTCTCAGAAAAATTTGTAAAACTGAAATGGCTGATGGCAGGGAGGCCGCGTGTGTTTCCGGGTTTTGAGAAAGGGGTCGCGAGTACAAAAATTTTGGGAACCACGTAACTAGAGTGTGGACAAGGAATTCACAGACAAGCAATTGTTATGTTTAAGCTGTCTCCTAATCTGGTTATGTTTGATAATGTTTGTTATACAATTAATACATGTAAAAAACAACATTTAAATAAATCCAATGCCTATAATTATGTTGAGAAAGCTATTAAAACTTTACAAACATATTACATAGGACCTAGGGTTGTGCACCTTGGTATTACTATTGACCATGGAAGTCTGAGTGATCCGGGCAAGAAGCAAAAATCTTCCTCGTCTGAGATATCACCACGGCGATTGCGGGAAATGGTTACCTGTGTCAGGGAGGGCAAACTATGAAATTCTAGATTACACTGTATATCAAACCAAATCGAAGCCGGATACTTGTGGTTGTTATTTTGTAAGTTAAGCATTTGCGTTAACTATCTTAGCATTGTTGTACATTTCCCTGCAAATTCGAGTGTTTAGTTCTAAAAAAAAAAGTCCTGAAAAGAGCACTGTCAGGTGACTTAAAACAAATTATCATCGTTTTAAATTTCGGGAAGTAAGGAACCATGATTGATAACCTCCAAATTTCGGCTCTGGTGGCAACGGTCAGAGGTGCCTTCCAGCTAGAGTCATAAACATGTATTTTTATCTCCTAGAGTATGACTGGTACTGTACACCGGCAGTGGTAAAGGAAGAGAAGGGAGGAACATTGATGGTTTGTTTTATTCATTAGAGTCGTTGAAGGCTCCATTGAATAAAAAGAAATTATCAGCTCATTGTTACCAAAGGGATGTAACTCCTGTTCATTTGGAAACAACACAGAATTCTATGTAAGTTCTAATATATATTGAAAATCTATTTTTTATTGTTTGAAGATAGTTGTATTAGTTAGTAGTAAAGGTTAGAAATCATATATTAGTAACGGGGATGAAGGCCGTTGGTAGAGGACCTCAAGTGTGGCATTACTTTAAAAGTCATAGTGAGAAAGTTTTTGGTCATGGCAGAAGTGTCAAAGAAGTCCAACTGCTGTATTGTGACGGTTTATTGTTTTACAAGATTTGTTTCTAAACAATCTTTCACAAGTAATACGTTTGTTACTAACACTGGTTTATTGTTTTACATGTTAGAATAGTAATACATTTGTTACTAACACTGGTTTATTGTTTTACAGCTTAGAACTTCAGTAGCGTCTGTGGTAAGTACAAAGCTTGACTGTTTGAAACTTCATTATATTTTCTATCAGTTATACGAGGGAAGGTTATACTAGGGTGCAGCTTTAAATATGTACATCCAGATTTATGATTTGTGTCGCGTTAAAAATTTCCTAAAATCCACCAAGAAAAATTTAAATTACCCTGAAATAGATATATGTGTCTATGAGTTTTAAGATAACAGTTAATTTTATCTTTCATTAGTTCATAAAGTGGGAATAAACTTTGAATATTGGGCCTTGCTTTATTAGGGAGCAGATTATATTTTTAATTATGTTTTATTGCATCTTACTAACCCTGCAGACCGTTCAGTACCAGAAACCCAGCGGTGTTAACATCAGGTACTGAGATAAATCAAGGCTTGTAACATTGTCAGCTTTAAGTTGAGGTTAGGTTAGGTTACAATTTATAGGTTTAATTAAAAGTGTAATTAACACGTATAATGAGATTTATAGAAGTACTGTAGAGTTTGTTTACCGGGTGAAGGTACAGTTCATGTATTTTACTGTAATAATAAGTACATTTTTCAGGTGCAGATTACATACATGTGTATTTCTTCTTTCTACATATTGTATAATTTTTAAATATGGAGTTTATTTTAAGTGCAGTTTAAGTTAATGTCGAGTTATTAGTACAATTCAAATGTATTTTTTTTATCGGGCAATGATTAAAATACATATGTATTTCAATGGAACACATGTACCATACCTACTACATGTATTTTTTTTTTCTGTTTAAATTAAATATTAAGTTTATTTTGGATAGAGTTAAGGTTTATGTGTATATTTCAGTGCAACACTTTTGTAAAACTATTTCTAAGATCAGCTTAAAATCATTTACATATGAATTTGGGTGCACACTTTTTTTGCGTGAAGAAGGTGAATATGTTATATCGTTTTGTTCAGTACAAATGCAAAGTTTTCTTTTTTCGTGCAAAGACTGAGTAGAAATGTAGTTCTGGAGAGTTACTTTTCTTACGGATGAAAGAAATTACAATCAGCAAAAATTTCCTGGACACCCGGGCACGATGGATTTGAGAATGAGCAGGCTGGGTCTTGGCATCTCGGAATGGTTTCAGATTCTTCGTTCATTTTTAGTTTGCTTAGTGCTTATAGCGTTCAAGAAGAATTTGGTGAGAGTGTACACAGGTATAGCTTATGGCAGCACAATTTATTTATTTTTTTTTTTTTACGTTTTGATGAAGTTCATGCATTTCCTTTAATGCAGCAGAGAGCAAAATACTATTACTGTAGTTTTGTTTCTTTAGTTCCTTGGGAAAAGGAGCACAAAAAGATTTCTTTCGTCATATTTCAATTTTCCTTTCATCAGTCCGAATGCCTTTTTTTTCTTACACACAAATATAAGGTTTACTTGGTTTTCCACGAAAGCAAATACAGTTCAGTTTGTTAACTCAACAGAGACGTAAATAATCTTCAGCCCAAAAATTTAATCCTTGGACAGTAATGTGCTAAATTTCCCAAAACAACAACTATAGTTTTTTAGATCAATACAAATGCACTCCAGTTAAAAATATATACACAAAAATTCGAGTTTCTATTGAGGGTTTGCACATCGATTAAGAGCGGACTCAATGCTGGCCCTGAGCACTATAAGATGTTTGGTCTTAAAAAGAACGATATTGTTGGGATTGTTTAAAAGATTGAAAAAAATACCACAGATTTTAAGCATACTAGAACAACCATAACACTTAATTGTTCAGAGTCAATTACAGTGTTCATAAGACAGGTAGAATTCTCAAGAAATGGTGAATTACAATCAATGAGTAGAGTGTTAGGTAGGACGGCAATGGATGTCTCAGGAACAGGTCATCATCTTCATGTTAACGGAAGGCGTTAGAGCCGGCTGGCTGATAGAGCCCCCGCTCGGCGAAATACTGGAGAGTTAGTTAACAACACGGTAGCCGTTCTCGTCGGCGATAAAGTTGACCACAGTGACGGTGCCGTCAGGGTGAGTGAAGCTGAGAGGAGATAAATAGAATACTAAACAATAGATAAACAAACCTCTTAATTCTCGTATATTATAAGACCTCCTATAAACATCACTCATAGATAGAATAAGTCAACAGGGGAAGACTCAACTTGGTTTACTTACGAGTAGGATCCCTGCATGTTGCTCTGGCCCTCTACCCCAGGGGTGCCCTGCCTCTCCTCCTCAATTGCATTGCTGGTTTCGTACCGGTAGTAGAAATTTCCATCTCCATCATCCTGGCGCTCGTCTGCCACGATCACAGCGTCCCGGTCAGGGTGAGGGGCGGCGGCGGCCAGGGCGACGAGGCAGGTGAGGAGTACCTGGTCCCTCAGGGAAGACAACGTGTTTAGTTCATAAACATCTGAGAGTTGTGTCAATATTTTGTCGTGTCTCTCGTTGTCTTGTTCTTAAAATACACAATGACACACTTAAATGGGTAAGAATGTGAGCTCATTTTGAGTGACATCTATAATATATTACAAGCACATTAAACACTCTCTTTAACCTGTGTTATGGAGCTACAGTATATAACCAAATCTTAAGCTATAATGAAGGTGGCTACAAAAATACCTCAACATACAGCATCAAGAGGCATCTAATAGTAGTCGGGGCTTCCGAGGCAGGAGGGAATATATTGGGACTCAATGTGATTGAGCCATCACCTCTCACAACAGTGTGTCATTTGTAAACAATGAAAGGTTCACTGAGATTTGTTTCAAGTCCAAATGTAAACAGCATTTTCTAATAAACGTAAAATAATGAACTTGCCGTCAGCTGTGCAGTGAACAATAATCCAACAGCGGTATATTAATACACAAAGATGTTCTGGCCAGTACTCACGAGCTTCATGTTGTCGGTACGAGAATCCCCTGAGGATGTTTGTGTTTCTTTGGGACCGGTTATATATATACCCACACACCAGCCCCGGAGGCTAAAGAGGTGGAGGGGGAGAAGGAGGGGGGTGAGGAAATAAGAGGGGGGAGATAATAGCAATGTAACTTTAATGTTTCCTGCAAGACGGAGGTAGTTAAGTTGTGAAGGTTAGAGGCGTGTGTTTGCGGTTGGGTGTTAGATCGCTGGGAAGTAAAACTATTCGTGTAACATTTCAACTCTTGGGGATTTTTTTCTCTGTATTTCCTGTAACTGCTTCACTTATTACGAATTAGGACAATATAATGAATATATATAATGACCCCGATTTTATTAGGGTGGGTGTGTAGGAGTGCATGGGCGGATTCTGGGCTACAAACAATAGAAAATAAGTTGAAATTATTCTTTACACAGATGAACACGCAAATATTACTCAAGGAGTATGATTATAATTGAACAACATTCCAGGTGACACCAAACCTGCCCGTTAAACGTTACCATGGCAGAGTAAATATCGAAAGCATAACGTAAAAATTCCACTTAACTTATTGTTTTGAATATATTTTTTATGCACAAGTGTGAATAATATTAGTTTATCTCTTATTAAAGGACATGTCATCATTTACATGTAGTTAAGTGTGCAGTAGTCTAAAGAAATAAGAACCTTTGTATCAAACTTTCTACATGTTAATATTTCACTTTCATCTTTACATCTCACTCACTCACGTGTAGGAGGGATGGAGGAAACTACCAAAAAAAAATAGAAAATAGTGCAATAAAATAGAGTGAGTTAAAGAAAATGAATTAAATAACAAATAGATTCACACACACACACATACACACACACATACATACACACACACACACACATATATACATACACACATACACACACACACACATATACATACACATATACACACACACATATATATACACACACACACACACACACGTACGTCCGTTGGGGTGAGGACATATTTGGCCCTGTTCTCATGACTACTCGGGTCAGGGTTGTTGATTCTCTACCAACTCCCTTCCCTCAATTGCTCCTCTCCGCCACGATACACCAACATTCTCCCGTCAAGAAAACAGTGTAAAGATTGATGACTAATCTATGACCAATGTAATTTCAGCGGCCGACGTAGAGCTCATAAAACACCAAGGAGGTGACACAATAAGATATTATATCAGTCTTGAGTAACCATTCATGATATACACCATCTCTCCCATGCTGACTATTGCTATTTCTCAAACTTTTAACACATGTGAGAGTAAGTATTTCTAAGTTGGTTTAACATCTTTTGTTTGGCTTCAGGAACCAGTTCATCAACGTTAACAATCTAATCTTTCACCATATTGTGTAGTATATTTTTCTCGTATCAATTGAATTAAAATTATTTACACCCTCTTGGGCTTTACCTACAAGACAAGGTCGAATAAGAAGGTTCTATATACTTGCTAACCACTGCAAGCTTGTGGTAATTTGATTCTTTTTTAGTATATTAAATGACGTTTCTTAAAATTTTGAAATTATATTACTATGTTTGGTATCATCAATTGTGATATAATTTTGAAATTTAATCAAGTTAATTTGACGCAACAACTCTTTTAGCTTAATCTTAACTTCTAATATAATTTTCCAAAACTCAAAATGGTTCACAAAAGTTAGGTTTGAAGTAACCATGAATACGCTAATAGGTACTGCTTCCTAACCCCTCATAAGTTCAATTACTATGAAGCACAAAACCTCCTTGATTAAAAGACATTTTGGCAGACTATAAAATATCATTTGCAAAGTTGAGTTTAAATACAAAGTTATTTTGGTTTCCTCCCAGTCGGTCCCTCAATAGTATGTTATGGCTAGCTGCAGTATTGAGAAGCAGCATCAGATTTGTTTCCACTAACCTGTGATCACCAAATCCACGCTTACTCCCAGACTATTGTGTGACAGATAAAAAGAACTTGATTGGCGAAAAAGTGTATGACCTGCTGCGTCAGTATGGTCTCTTCATAAATTAAAGCCACAGCAAATGAAAGAATATTAGTTGGTTCTTTCCTTCTCCACTCCATTCAGTAATGCTTAGTGGTTCATATGAGATAAAAGAAATTCCCACAAAACCTATAAAAAAATTACTTAATATTAACCAAAGATAAAATGAAAATCCTTATAATAACTCAAACATCAACCTTTACTGACCAAATTAGATTATGATAAAATAAAAAGTAGAGATTTATAATTTGCGCATTAGTGACTTATCTTTTCCCTTAAAACCACATGAGAAGTCAGTCATTACATTGTCCTGCTCATCTCTTATCTAATCATCAGTCTGACTTGCCACCGCCCTAGTTCCCCGTCCACACATTGCTGTCCGCCACTACTGTATAATCATACCACGTAACACAGATTCCTACAAGAACAACCCTATTCCAGTAATTGTTAAAACCATAAACAACTCAAATAGATAACGTGTTTTTTCATCCCTTGTCTATTTTTCCTTTTAAAAACGTAAGATGGAGGAAACTGCCGCCCCGTTTACACCCAACTCATATAACTCGTGTATCTGTCCAACCTATATATGAAGCTACCCAGCGTGTTCCAGTTAATGATAGTGTTTGGTAACTTGTTCCTCTAATCCATAACTCTATTTCCAAACCAATGTTTACCCATCTCGCGCATCAATCTAAATTTTTCTATTTTAAAGCCATTGTTACGTGTTTGCTCCTGGTTAGCGAGTTTAAGTACCTTTGTTATTTCACCTTTGTTTAGCACTGACTTCCATTAAAACATCTCGATCATTTCGCCCCTCACTCTACGTCTTTCGAGGGAGTGCAAATTCAGATGCTTTAATCTGTGTCTGTACTGAAAGTTCTTAATACCCGGGATTAGCCTTGTTATCCTCCTCTGAATGATTTCTACGGATGCAATATTCATTTTGTAACACTGTGACCAAACCTGAACCACATAATCCAAGTGAGGTCTCATACGCGAGATACAATTTTAGGATAACCTCGCTAGTCTATGAACCTTGTTAGCCTTGTTTCCAACATAAATGCATTGTTGTCTTGATTTAAGGTTACTACTTATCCTTTCATTACCCCTAAACCTCTTTCACAGTCGGATTTCTCTATATCAACGTTAATCATCTGATATCTGGTTTCCCTATTTACATCTCCTAGGTCTAAGTACTTTAATATTTTTCCACATTAAATTTCATCTGCTACTTTTTAGTCCATGAGAAAAGTTAGATCTTCCTAATTTTTCTGAGCCCTCGCCAGATTTAATTACACGCCCTATTTTAATGTCGTTAGCAAATTACTTACATTGATATCGATGCCAATATCTATGTCCCTTATGAATATGATAAATAGTAATGGGCCAAATACTGAGCCTTGGGGTACTCCACTAGTGACATTACCCCAGTCGGATTTAGTACCATTAATACTTACTCTCCCTTTATTGTATTTTAGTCATGCCCTAATTCAATTTAAAATATTCCCTCCAATACCATGAGTAGTAGAATCACACACACACACACACACACACACACACACACATATATATATATATATATATATATATATATATATATATATATATATATATATATATATATATATATATATATATATATATATATATATATATATATATGCACACTGTACACTAGGTAAATCTTTAACCTTCACATACACAAACATCGTTCTACTTTTCATTTCTTTGTGTTCATTAACCTTTTTCTTCTTCAGTTAACACATTTATCGACATCTTCGAAAGAATATCGTTTGAAGTTTTTAAATGATGAAAAAAAATGACTGCAGGGGATAATCAGACTAGAACACAACTATAACAGACTTAATTGTTCAGAGATTATGACATTGTTCACGAGGCTGGAAGAATCCTCAACATATGATGAAAGACAATCAGTGGGTAAAGTGTTAAACAGGACGACAATGGACGTCTCAGGAAGAGGTCATTCATTGTCGGGATGTAACGACAGATGATAGGGCCGGTAGGTGCAAGAGCTGGGGCTGGGCGACGTCTTGAGGACTAAATAAGACGGTAGCCGTTCTCATCAGAAACGAAGTTGACCACAGTGACGGTGCCGTCAGGATGAGTGAAGCTGCGAAGTAAAGAGAATACTTATGATTAGATATCCAGACCGTATCTGATTTATCCTTACTTATAAGACTTCCTGCAAACATCATTCATAAATCAAATAAGTCAAGTTTTACTTACGAGTAGGTTCCCTGCATGTTGATCTGGCCCTCTACCCCCGGGTTGCCCGCCCTATCCTCCGCGATTCCATTGCTGGTCTCATAATTGAAGATGAAGCTTCCATCTGGTCCTATTTGGCGCTGGTCTGCTAGGATCACAGCGTCTTTGTCAGGGCGAGGGGCAGCGGTGGCCAGGGCGACCAGACAAGCGAGGAGTACCTGTGTCAGGGAGGACAAGGTGTTGAGTCACTTTAGTATTCTTATGCTTTCTACAAGTCTTGTCTTGTAGTTCTATTGATCACTATTATGTTATGAATTTTCTTAAAATATGTTTCAATATTTCCCCTTCCTGTATATCTAGGAAATATTTGTCATAATGTATATTAGACGTAATGTATGTGACTGCCTGTGACACCCTTGTAACACTTCATCGTTCAGATAAAAGAAACCTCTTTGTTCTGCCGTCAGCAGTTATAAAACGTTTTCTTAAGTCATTATTAGCCTTAAATAGCAAATTTTACCTGAAGAGGCAACGCAGACAATTATTCGATAAAGACAGTGATTTTTAAGGACAAACAAGAACAATTTGGTGTGGAATATACCAAGACCATTTGTCGCCAAACAACTATTTTGTACATCTCAATATTATTCTAGTATACACGATGTAATAAACACACCGTTAACTGCAATGACATAGTGATATGTTAATGATCATCAGAACGGATACAAATCTTGCCTAGGAACAGTTACCAAGGCAGGGTGAATATGGTCAATTTTAGAGTGCTGCCCAGAACAGTTATCATGTGGACTTTGTCATATGTTGCTCAAACTTATCAAGATTGGTGCAAACTCGCATACCCATTCTAGAGTTATTCAGGAGACCCAAAGAAAGACAATCAGACAGGACTGAAAACAATAGCCTGTCCCTCACTTGAGGTGAGTGTAACAAAGCTGACTCCGGCCAATACTCACGAGCTTCATGTTGTCGTTGGGAGGATCAGCTGAGTGTGCTTTGTCCCCTGCCTGGAACCAGCTATATATACGCTCACACCTGAGCTGGCTCAGTCAGGAAACGGGTCAGAGGTTATAAGGTGGTGAAGGGAGGCTGTGGGTGTGGTAAGAATAGGAGGCTGTGGGGATGGTGGAGGTGGTGGGGGGAGGAGAGAGTAATGAGGCAGGTGTGCAGGAAAAAGAGAAAGGACAAGATGATCATAAGGTTAGAGGTGTTTATTTACCTGGGAATATAAGTTTGGGTGAAAGTTTAACATGTATGTACAACGTGTAATGGAGACATATATTATAGTACCTTAACCAGTGACCACCTTACCAGTGACCACCTTACTCCAGTGACCACCTTACTCCAGTGACCACCTTACTCCAGTGACCACCTTACTACAGTGACCACCTTACTCCAGTGACCACCTTACTACAGTGACCACTTACTCCAGTGACCACCACAGTGACTACAGTGACCACTACTACAGTGTGACAGTGACTTACTTACTACAGTGACCACCTTACTCCAGTGACCACCTACAGTGACCACCTTACTCCAGTGACCACCATACTCCAGTGACCACCTTACTACAGTGACCACCTTGCAGTGACCACCTTACTCCAGTGACCTACCTTTACCACAGTGACCACCTTACTCCAGTGACCACCTTACTCCAGTGACCACCCTCCACTCCTTACTTGACCACTCCAGTGACCACCACAGTGACCACCTTACACAGTGACTCTTACTCCAGTGACCACCTTACTTGACCACCTACAGTGACCACCCTACAGTGACCACCTTACTCCAGTGACCACCTTACTACAGTGACCACCTTACTCCAGTGACCACCTTACTCCAGTGACCACCTTACTCCAGTGACCACGTTACTCCAGTGACCTGTCCAGTGACCACCTTACTACAGTGACCACCTTACTACAGTGACCACCTTACTACAGTGACCACCTTACTACAGTGACCACCTTACTACAGTGACCACCTTACTACAGTGACTACCTTACTACAGTGACTACCTTACTACAGTGACCACCTTACTACAGTGATTACCTTACTACAGTGACCACCTTACTACAGTGACCACCTTACTACAGTCACTACCTTACTACAGTGACCACCTTACTACAGTGACCACCTTACTACAGTGACCACCTTACTACAGTGACCACCTTACTCCAGTGACCACCTTACTACAGTGACCACCTTACTCCAGTGTGCGTCTTACCAATGTAACTTGTTTGACTTCTTTTTTAAGATAAATTGTGGATGCAAGTTTAGTTAACATTAGTACTTAGATAACATGTACTTCAGTGTTGTATAAAAAGATTGTTTATTCATATCAATCTTTCTACACAGTCTTCTTTAATTTTTACCTTTACAACTCATTCACGTACGTGTCGAATGGATATTAAAAATAGTGCAATAAAAGTATAGTTGAAGGAAAGAGGTGAAATAACACACACACACACACACACACACACACACACACACACACACATCGTTTAACGTCGTTATCCATGACACTTCCTCGCGTTTACTAAACTTCTACTTCCATGACCATAATTAACGTTATCTCAAAGATATATATGATAAATACGTTACCGTAGAGGATAATCATACTAGAATACAACTATAACACTTCAATGTTCAGAGTAAAGGACAGTGTTCACGAGGTAGGAAGAATCCTCAACAGATGATGAATGACAGTAAGTGAGTAAAGTGTTAGGCTGGACGACAACGGACGGCTTAGGAGGAGGTCACCATTTTAATGTTAACGAAAGATGATAGGGCCGGCAAATGCGGCGAGTTGCTCTGGGCGAGGTCTTGAAGGCTGATTGGTAGGTCTTGGGGAGTCAACAACACGGTAGCCGTTCTCGTCGGCTATGAAGTTAACCACAGTGACGGTGCCGTCAGGATGAGTGAAGCTGAGAGAAGATAAATAGAATACTGTTCTTACGAACAGATGACCAAATCCTATACATTTATTTTTTTGACTCACAAGACTTCTTATAAACATCTTTCATAAATCAAGTAACTCACAGAGGAAGGCTCAACAAGGATTACTTACAAGTAGGATCCCTGCATGTTGCTCTGGCCCTCTACCCCAGGGGTGCCCTGCCTCTCCTCCGTGATGCTGTTGCTGGCTTCGAACCGGTAGTAGAAATTTCCATCTCCATCATCCTGGCGCTCGTCCACCACGGTCTGGGCGTCCCGGTCAGGATGGGGGGCGGCGGCGGTCACGGCGACCAGGCAGGCGAGGAGAACCTGGTCCCTCAGGGAAGACAACGTGTTGGGTCATACACCTTACCTGAGTGTTGTGTCAGTAGGTTGTCTTGTCTCTCCTTGTCTAAAATTTTCTTTCTTTTTGACTAAATTTCAAAGTTTTCCTTACTATTGAATCTTCAGTAACATGTGCCACATGAATGAGGTGGCGAGTGATAACTTTACCATTTTACAAGCACATTAAACACAACAATGCTTGACCCACATCTTGGAGTAATATAACTGAATCTTGAACTGTTATGAAAAGTCACTCGTAATATACTTCAAAATACAGTAAAAAAGTGGTCTAACAATGGGAGGGCCTTTGTAGACAGGAATACTTATTTTATTTTCAAAGACGCTGGGCCATTAGCTGTCATAACAGTGTATCATTTCCATAGAATGAAAGGAAACCTGAGGTTTGTTTACATCCTAAAGCAAACATCATTTTCTAATACACGTGAATTAATGAACTGGCTGTCAACTGTTCAGTAGACAATAATCCTACAGCGGTATATTAATAATCAATAATGTTCTGGCCAGTACTCACGAGCTTCATGTTGTCGTTGGGTAATCCCCTGAGGAAGGCTCCTGTTTTCGTCTGGAACCTTATATACTGTATATATACCCATCCACCAGCCCCGGAGGCCAAGGAGACGGAGAGGGGGGAAGGGGTGGGCGAGAGGAAATAGCAACGTAACCCCGGTTCAAACAGCAGCTAAGTTGTGAAGGTCATAATGTTGGAGATCCGTGTTGGTGGCTGGGTATGATCACGGCAAAGTTTGATTGCTCATATTTAGCCTTTTTTGCGGGAGGGTGAATGTTAACTTGTGTCCTGTAACTCCTTCATTTATCACAATTAAGACAATAAGATGAGTATGTGTTGATCCCAGTTATATCAGGGTAAGTGGGTAGCGGGGCACGTGTGGCTTCTGGTCTATAATCCCTAGAAAAAACTCAAGCGAAGCTGTAAATATCCATGGCAGGGAAATGTAGAAATAGTGACGGAGTTACACTAAAGTAATGTAGTCGTCGCTGGAGACTGCATCATATCACCGAAAACTATTGTGTTATAATTGTGCAAACACTTATCATAGTAATACTTGGTCAATTTTGGCACGTCTTACACTAAAACCTTATCATATGAACCTTGTCACATGTTATTTTGGGGACACACAGACAGACAAGACTGAAAATATTACCATAAAAAAAATTCGGTGTCATCCGGAAAGCACGCACAGTGTGACCCCTCGACCTTCACACAGTGCCACCGCCAGTTTCTATATTCTCCTTAATGTGCTCACACATCGGTATAACAATAAAATTCGCAGCTCGTAAGAACAGTCGACACAGTCAGTGAATAAGTGCATCGACTCACAACGCACGCGCCAATGTAACAGGCATCACTGCTAGATAAGTGTCCAGTACATGAGAGGATTCCCTGTACAGGCTCACGTGTTGTTAGCAGAGCGTGGTATTATTGATCTTTAATAACGTCAAATGACACCAAGACTGTCTGGAGAAGGAGGGATACTTGGTCATGAAGGGACGACGTTATGGTGATGGCTGGAGACGTGCAGGAGGAGGACATTGCAGGATGTAGTGAGGTAGTTTACATGTAGTGCGGCAAGACTCCGCCTTGTCCACGTACTGCCGGTGGCACCTACAGTATATCCAAGGTGTAAGTCTTCTATACACAATCAGTTGAGAACGATGCAAGGGTACAGGAGATATGTCAGGGAGTGGAGAGGAGAAGTAGTGGAGGGAGTAGAGGGAAGGGAGAGAACGTTCTGCCTGTTATCCCTTTCATATATATCTAGAATTAATTATTATTAGTATTATTCTGCAGCTGACCTCACTATAGTTAAGAATTGTATAGGCTACTGTAGAAGGATGGCTCACTCAAATGGGCGAACTCGTTCACCCCCGACTGTGGCGCCACCAAGCGACTGCAAAAAAAAGAAAATAGGCGCCGGGCAATGATTAAAGAGAGAAAGACGCACATTTCGGCGAATGCATTGTTTTGTATTGTTTTATGTACATTAATTTTCAATCTCCAAAGGGATACATTTACTGTGCAGCTTTAAATTGTTCCAACATCACCAAATGAACAAAAATCTGCCTTTCATCACATTTCTAAAGTCGAGTTCTTAACTTACTTCTGTCAATGTTTTTTATTTAATGTTTTAAGTGTTGATATTGGTCCATTCTTCACAGTTGCTACAGTGAACATCAGAATATCATCAATGGACATTAGGTAAATAAAGTATCTAATATTAATTTTATTTGGCACCCATTCAGTATAGGCAGACAACCGCCAGCGCCGGAAAGACGCTGCCGCCGTCCGTCTCACACTAGGTGTATCCCCCCACACGTACAACATCTGCGGACGACCCTGGCGGTTTCGTATCGTCCTTTCGAATCCCCTTAGAACTCTTTAACGAAGACATCATTAATAACTCATATCATTACGTCACATCTGCCTCAGTTTGCAGTTGGGCTAGTACGAAATTATTGACACCTTCTTCTGCGGTGCTCCTCCAAGCGTTACCGTGTGGAGTGATCGTCTCCCAGGTGAGGGGTCAATTTGGCGCTTTTTCGGGATTTTTTTAAGACTATTCTTATACGTTTTCCGTTGCCTACTAGCTTCACGTTTACCATTCCTTAGATGACAATAGAGTAGCAAATTTGGCAGTCTACTGTCGTCTAGGCGGATAATATGGCCAGTCCAGCGTAACTGTTCATGGATAATGGTAGCCTCGATGCTCCTACAGTTCGTGTAAGGCTGTAAGTGATAATACTGGCATTTGTTCTCTTGTCTTCCAAGACAACTTGGAGGATGGAACTTAGCCTTCAATGGCAAAAGTTCTTAAGGGCCTTGAAGTGCCTCCTGTATGTGATCCACGTCTCGTTGTCGTATAGTAGGGTGGGGAGGACAATTACTCGATATACTTGCAACATTGTAGATAATTTTAGCTCCAACAGCTGAAAACACGGGTAAGGAGTCTGCCAATGGCTTGAGATGCACATCTGATCCAATCTTGAATCTCTTCATCGATATCCGCGGTGGTGGACAGGTGGGAGCCGAGATACTGAAAGTGGGTAACTTTAAAGAGGGTAGTGCTGTTAACCTGGATGAATAGTGGAGGTGTGGCTGAACCAGGGGCAGGTTGGAAGAAAATTTAAATCTCACGTACATTCACCTCAGGGCCAAAGTTCGCATGCATGTTCGCGTAGGTATTCAGGATCTCCTATAGGTCGCGTTCAATGTGAGCGATGTGGGAGATATCGTCTTCTTACTGAGGTTCAGTAATGAAACGGCCGACACCTTTCTTCCTGTCACTGGCACGAGTAAGGGAGGCATCCAAGAAAATGGAAAACGGGATTTTGTGCCAGTATACATCCTTGCTTTACCCCCGTTTGGATGGGGAAGAACTCAGACTGGGTGCCATTTGTAGGAAACTGCCGTTCATGCCATCGTGGAGTTGCGTCACAATGACAACGACATCTTACAAGGAAAAAGTTTTCAAGATTTTTTAAATTAAAAAATGACCGCAGGGGATAATCAGACTAGAACACAACTATAACAGACTTAATTGTTCAGAGATTATGACATTGTTCACGAGGCAGGAAGAATCCTCAACATATGATGAAAGACAATCAGTGGGTAAAGTGTTAAACAGGACGACAATGGACGTCTCAGGAAGAGGTCATTCATTGTCGGGATGTAACGACAGATGATAGGGCCGGTAGGTGCAAGAGCTGGGGCTGGGCGACGTCTTGAGGACTAAATAAGACGGTAGCCGTTCTCATCAGAAACGAAGTTGACCACAGTGACGGTACCGTCAGGATGAGTGAAGCTGCGAAGTAAAGAGAATACTTATGATTAGATATCCAGACCGTATCTGATTTATCCTTACTTATAAGACTTCCTGCAAACATCATTCATAAATCAAATAAGTCAAGTTTTACTTACGAGTAGGTTCCCTGCATGTTGATCTGGCCCTCTACCCCCGGATTGCCCGCCCTATCCTCCGCGATTCCATTGCTGGTCTCATAATTGAAGTTGAAGCTTCCATCTGGTCCTATTTGGCGCTGGTCTGCTAGGATCACAGCGTCTTTGTCAGGGCGAGGGGCAGCGGTGGCCAGGGCGACCAGACAAGCGAGGAGTACCTGTGTCAGGGAGGACAAGGTTGTTGAGTCACTTTAGTATTCTTATGCTTTCTACAAGTCTTGTCTTGTAGTTCTATTGATCACTATTTTGTTATGAATTTTCTTAAAATATGTTTCAATATTTCCCCTTCCTGTATATCTAGGAAATATTTGTCATAATATATATTAGACGTAATGTATGTGACTGCCTGTGACACCCTTGTAACACTTCATCATTCAGATAAGAGAAACCTCTTTGTTCTGCCGTCTGCAGTTATAAAACCTTTTCTTAAGTCATTATTAGCCTTAAATAGCAAATTTTACCTGAAGAGGCAACGCAGACAATTATTCGATAAAGACAGTGATTTTTAAGGACAAACAAGAACAATTTGGTGTGGAATATACCAAGACCATTTGTCGCCAAACAACTATTTTGTACATCTGAATATTATTCTAGTATACACGATGTAATAAACACACCGTTAACTGCAATGACATAGTGATATGTTAATGATCATCAGAACGGATACAAATCTTGCCTAGGAACAGTTACCAAGGCAGGGTGAATATGGTCAATTTTAGATTGCTTCCCAGAACAGTTATCATGTGGACTTTGTCATATGTTGCTCAAACTTATCAAGATTGGTGCAAACTCGCATACCCATTCTAGAGTTATTCAGGAGACCCAAAGAAAGACAATCAGACAGGACTGAAAACAATAGCCTGTCCCTCACTTGAGGTGAGTGTAACAAAGCTAACTCCGGCCAATACTCACGAGCTTCATGTTGTCGTTGGGAGGATCAGCTGAGTGTGCTTTGTCCCCTGCCTGGAACCAGCTATATATACGCTCACACCTGAGCTGGCTCAGTCAGGAAACGGGTCAGAGGCTATAAGGTGGTGAAAGGAGGCTGTGGGTGTGGTAAGAATAGGAGGCTGTGGGGATGGTGGAGGTGGTGGGGGGAGGAGAGAGTAATGAGGCTGGAATGCAGGAAAAAGAGAAAGGACAAGATGATCATAAGGTTAGAGGTGTTTATTTACCTGGGAATATAAGTTTGGGTGAAAGTTTAACATGTATGTACAACGTGTAATGGAGACATATATTATAGTACCTTAACCAGTGACCACCTTACTCCAGTGACCACCTTACTCCAGTGACCACCTTACTCCAGTGACCACCTTACTACAGTGACCACCTTACTCCAGTGACCACCTTACTACAGTGACCACCTTACTCCAGTGACCACCTTACTCCAGTGACCACCTTACTACAGTGACCACCTTACTACAGTGACCACCTTACTACAGTGACCACCTTACTACAGTGACCACCTTACTACAGTGACCACCTTACTACAGTGAACACCTTACTCCAGTGACCACCTTACTACAGTGACCAACTTACTACAGTGACCACCTTACTACAGTGACCACCTTACTCCAGTCACCACCTTACTCCAGTCACCACCTTACTACAGTGACCACCTTACTACAGTGAACACCTTACTCCAGTGACCACCTTACTACAGTGACCACCTTACTACAGTGACCACCTTACTCCAGTGACCACCTTACTACAGTGACCACCTTACTACAGTGACCACCTTACTACAGTGACCATCTTACTACAGTGATCACCTTACTACAGTGACCACCTTACTCAGTGACCACCTTACTTGACCACTACAGTGCCACCTTACTACAGTGACCACCTTACTACAGTGACCACCTTGCTACTACAGTGACCACCTTACTCCAGTGACCACCTTACTACAGTGACCACCTTACTACAGTGACCACCTTACTACAGTGACCACCTTACTACAGTGAACACCTTACTACAGTGACCACCTTACTACAGTGACCACCTTACTACAGCGACCACCTTACTACAGCGACCACCTTACTACAGTGAACACCTTACTACAGTGAACACCTTACTACAGTGAACACCTTACTACAGTGAACACCTTACTACAGCGACCACCTTACTACAGCGACCACCTTACTACAGCGAACACCTTACTACAGTGACCACCTTACTCCAGTGACCAATTTACCCAGTGACCACCTTACTACAGTGACCACCTTACTACAGTGACCACCTTACTACAGTGACCACCTTACTACAGTGACCACCTTACCCAGTGACCACTTTACTCCAGTGACCACCTTACTCCAGTGACCACCTTACTACAGTGACCACCTTACTACAGTGACCACCTTACTACAGTGACCACCTTACTCCAGTGACCACCTTACTACAGTGACCAATCTTACTCCAGTGACCACCTTACTCCAGTGACCACCTTAGTACAGTGACCACCTTACTACAGTGACCACCTTACTACAGTGACCACCTTACTACAGTGACCACCTTACTACAGTGACCACCTTACTACAGTGACCACTTTACTACAGTCACCAACACACAGTGACCACCTTCACATTGCCTGACATCGTTTTGTACATTTCAATTCCTTGTGTTTACTAAATTGTTTCTAGTACTCCAGTTAACCAAATATACCATATCGTAAATTAGAGAGAAAAATATATTTAGGATTTTTTAGATGAAAAAAATACCACAGAGGATAATCATACTAAACACATTTGTAACAGACTTAATTGTTGAGAATCAATGACAGTGTTTATGGGACAGGTAAAATCTTCAACAATGACAATCAGTGAGAAGAGTGACAGGCAACACGACAACGGACGGTTTAGGAGGAAGCCATTGTCTTGTTGTTAACCAAAGTTGATAGGGCCTACAGATGAAAATGAGGGCAAAAAAATAGGTCTTGAGGGCAGAACAAGAGGTCTTGGGGCCGAAAAAAGAGGTCCTGGGGGCAGAACAGGATAGACGGTGCCGTCAGGGTGAGTGAAGCTGAGAGGATATAAATAGAATATATACGAATACATAATAAAAGCTCATTTAATTTCTTACCTTAAAAGACTTCTTATAAACATCTTTCATGAATCAAGTAACTCACAGAGGAAGGCTCAACAAGGTTTACTTACGAGTAGGATCCCTGCATGTTGCTCTGGCCCTCTACCCCAGGGGTGCCCTGCCTGTCCTCCGTGATGCTGTTGCTGGTTTCGAACCGGTAGTAGAAATTTCCATCTCCATCATCCTGACGCTCGTCTACCACGGTCTGGGCGTCCCGGTCAGGATGGGGGCGAGCGGTCACGGCGACCAGGCAGGCGAGGAGTACCTGGTCCTCAGGGAAGACAACGTGTTGGGTCATA